TACTTGGACATCAGTTATTTGCCTTAATAGAACAATAATATAATTAATTTGTTAGGTGAAGTGCTTTTTGAATGTTGTATTCACTTTTCCTGCCGAGGTTCATGTAAATTTAGGTTGTTTCATCTTTCATTTTTCGACTTTACTGCTTTACTGTAGATCAGCAGTTTTACATTCACGCCCCTTTGACAAACTGGTCTATTAGACGCGAATGTAAAGTAAGAACTGGTTGAGGGTGTTGTTTTATCAGAAAGCCGAATGAAAAGAGAAAAAAACCCTCCGCATTTCATGATGTGTGTGTGTGTGTGTGTGTGTGTGTGTGTGTGTACGCACGGTCCTTTACTGTGTGTATGGATCTTGCCACAAAATGCGGTGAAAAGTCCTACATGACGGTAATAGTTTGATTAGGGCGTTTACTTCGTTAAAGCCACTAATATATGCATACTCCGCGTCTTAATCCCATTTCTGTTTAGTTCAGTTAAGACTTTTATCAGATTAAGGTAGTCAAAAACCGCTGTTTACATGGTAGACTCTAATCAGAGTACTGTCTTAATTGTATAAAAAATATGTCCTAAAAGTTTGAAAACCGCTGGTCTACACCTCCCCATTCCCTAAACCCAACAGTCACAGTAGCACGGGCACTACCTTAGTGGGCAGTACAAGGTCTGCTATGAAGTTGACAATCACCTACACCTCCCCCTACCCTAAACCCAACCATCAAGGTTGCATGAGCGTTACCTTAGTGGGCAGTACAAGGTCCGCTACGAAGTTGACAATCACCTACACTTCCCCCTACCCTAAACCCAACCATCAAGATTGCATGAGTGTTACTTTAGTGGGCAGTACAAAGTCTGCTATGAAGTTGACAATCACCTACACTTCCCCCTACCCTAAACCCAACCATCAAGGTTGCATGAGCGTTACCTTAGTGGGCAGTACAATGTCCGCTACATAGTTGACAATCGCCTTCAACTCCCCTTATAATAAACCCAACCATCACCATATCATGGGCACTACCTTTGTCAACAGTACAAGGTCCGCTATGTTGTTGACAATCACCTACACATCCCCCTACCCTAAACCCAACCATCACAGTAGCATGAGCGTTACCTTAGTGGGCGGTACAAGGTCCGCTACATAGTTGATGATCGCCTACACCGCCCGCTACCGTAAACCTAACTGTCACAGTAGCTAGGTCCATTATGTAGTTGACGATCGCCTATGTCATCAAGCTACAGGCTGAAGCGAGGACATCTTGAATATTAGGCCTACTGACTCGCCTGCTTAATACCACAAACACAGAAAGATGTAAATCGGCGCATAACGAGACTGAGCATTTAAAAATTACACAAACTGAAACCAAAACTTTTAAAGAGTAATAGAAGTGAGACTTTTCTTCCTTTCTTTTGTCCGTTCTTTCTTGAGATGCATGTTATTTTTCTATTTAGTAACTGAAAGTTAATTTTAAGCCCTGCATTAGACAAATACTATTTATATCTACTCTTATTTTTATTTATTTTCAGTGTAATATTATTAATGATGTTTAAATCTTTAAAAAGTACTTATTTTTAAGCACAAAGACAGAAATAGACTATTGTTTGTTTTAATATTATTACGTGCTGTATTAATTGGCTACTGAGCAGCAATAAATAACATTTTAAATTATAAAAAGTTTTCATGTGGTTTTCTGAACTAGTAGTGTTTTGAAATCAATGAATGCATAATAGTTGTGTAACTGTAAAACCGTGATTATTCCTTACATTATAATCGTACAACCAAAATTTATAATCGTTGGATACCTAGTTGCTAGTGCATCTAGAGCCGAAGAAAGAGCTAACTTGCACAGTTCAATTCAATCTGGGTCACGGCACCAATGTGACCCCAAAGGTCCTGCTCCATGTAGAATTCAAACCAGCATTTCTAACCTAGGAGAAGAGAGAGATATAAGAAAATCTCAAACCAGCAGCTTCTCGCATCAGTCATCAGTGTGCTTTTAGACAGCCTCCGTTTTACTTGAAACTCTTGAAATGACCAAACTGCGTAGCTTTGCAACAGCCTCGTTTCTCTTCTAATGTGCTACTTTCAGTTCTCTGCATTCATCGGCGTACTGCTAAACTGTCACCATCAGCACAGCTCTGTCTGGTCAGCAGACACTGACCACTTCCTGTGTCTCTGCCACCGAGGGCTGCTTTGCACAGGAAGCAGAGCGATGCAGCTCCGACCCGCTTGAGCAATTCGCCCATTAGTGCATGCTGATATATCAGGCACTTTGCACTGTAGTCGTCCTACCACACTCACAAGTCTGTTGATCAAAACAAGGTGTCTTTCACACCATTTATAACCACTGTGGTGAAAGAGTGATGAAGTATGTAAATCTAGCCAGGCCAGAGCATGATTTTGCCACCAAGATAACTACAAAGTCTACTTTGAGTGGGTGACCAGCAAAGTCTGCATAAAATACCAGAAAGGTTAACTTAATCAGTGTTTAAAAAATATGTTATAATGCTAAAAAGAGGTAAAATAAAAGCATCTACACATAATAATACTTTTTAAGAATACAAACAATGTTTTAAATAAGAATTGATTAGAATCTTTGCCTAACAGCAGTCTCTTTTATATGTTGTCCATATCTAAACACCCTTTTTACACTACCAAGTTGGCATAGACAGTTATAAATTAATTTACATTAAAAAATTATAAAATGCTCTGCAATGAAAGTTGTCAGGGCTTGATCAAATCTGCACATTTTATTATGAATTTCATTTTCTCTTAGTGCATTGATGCACACGCATCCTGCTCCAAGCACCTTTAACTTGGCTGTATAAAGACGGTTAGTTAAGAGGAACTTGCCCTTTGGCCTGGGTGCTTCTGCTGTGGTCATGGACTCCTGATCACACACGCAAATACAAACACACACCTTACAGCCTCTACTGGATCCACCTGCCCGGACTAGGCTGTCCATGCCGATGCAGGTACAGACAGTCCCGGGGAGGGGAGGATTTTACTGGTGGTTACTCAAAAATGTCACCTTTCCTGTTTCAACAGCTCTGGTTGTTTGTGCCGACACGCAAAAGGCGCGGCTAGCTCTCTCTTCAATACACATTTACACTAGTGTAGTGACTAGAAGTCCGACTCATTTAACTGAATCGGCTCCTTTGAACAGTTCGCTTCACGCGGTTGTTTTCACGTCATCACGTGGCCTTTGACATCTTTTTTGGTTATAATATTACAAGCTCTGACACTTATTTAAATACGTAGACATGGCTTACTATTAATACCGATGCTTATATTGATTCAGCTGGTAAAAAATTATGTTGATTAGCTTTTAAAACACTTAAAAATTAACCCTAATAAAATAGCTTTAAGTGAGTTAACGAATAATAATAATAATAATAAAAACATTTCCTCTCATTTCCCGTGTGTTTCAGCTACACATCTATCTAACAGAATCAATTATCAGATATCAGTGGGTTCAAACGATTCATTGAACAGAAAGGACTCAAATGAACTTCAAGAATCGGACACGGCTAACGCAGAGACAAGTCTTGTGGTCAGGTGAGGCACGCACAGCTGCCCACAGTTAGAAGATAAAACAAACAACAGAAACATACTGTCATGATCAAAACAATATTTCACTGCCCTTTAGACTTACAAACCATCTACAGCGACTATATTTATCGATTGATTTATTGGTTGTCGATTAATAAACGACAATCTAAAAGTAAAGCGCACTAGTTTAAGAAGAATTACGCGTTAGGTAGCATCAGATAATGAAGATGTATGTACAAATAATAATAAATAAGCTTTAAAATTAAAATAGCGGATAAGTTATGACAAATGACGACACAAATATAGATTTTGAGAAGATGCAATAAGGAAGTGCAATGCTATTGCGCCAACTCAGTCAAAATAACAAATAACTAAAAGAGTAAGAGCATAGAACGATATATTTAACACTAAATTACCTAATAAAGACAGCTTGTCAGCAACACATAAATAAAAACACGAGGGCACGTTTCCTCCCCCCAACTCCAATGTCAAGTTCTGTACTCGCACCGGAGCAAGCCACACACCACGTGAAAAGTTAATTATGCCTTATTGGTTATATCTATCACTCCTACTTTCACTCTGTCACATTATCAACATACAGCCCCCATACATACATATCACGTTTATCGTTTAAATATAGGAGGAGCTGTTTTAAATCCAGCTTACCTTGCATCACACTCAGGTGTTGCGGTCTGCTGCCGAGTTTGCGTCTGGACATAGCGAGAGAGGCTCCTCCAAAACTACACCAGAATTAAGCAGGCAAACCTAGTAGACCTCATAAAACGGCAGTGATGTGCGTCTTGAGTGTCGTTCAGTGCTGTGCCCGTCAATGTTCAAGTTCACACTGTCTGCTGGCCCTGCAGGAGGAGGAGGGCATGAGGAACGCCTACAGTCCTTCAGCCCGCCCATCATCATCCTCCTCATCCTCAGTGCTCCGTCTTCTCACTGACCCCCATAAAAACAGATCCACTCTCACAGCCACCGCATTAAACGATTTAAACTCTCCGTTTACTTATCTAACTTATGTGTCGTATTGGAGGAATTGTGTAAATAGTTGCTTTGATAGCGCGCAGCTGGTGCTCTGACACCAATAAAAGTGCTGGTTAAGGATGTGGGTGAAGAGGAAGTGGCTTTATCGAGGTCGACTGAGAGACAGGTGTTTGTTTGGCTGTCCGGCGTGTTTCGAAACCCAAAGTAACTGTCGCTTTACTTTCAGACGCTTGCTTCTCTTTTGTGGACAGCGGAGGCAAATATATGTAGACGAAAGTGTTCGTTGAAGTGGGTGAAGTGAACAAAATCTTAATAACAGCAATTTACGCCAAATTACACTCGTTTCTCATTGGTTGAGTACGCCATCTGGCGGTTAATATACAATACGTCATCGCAGTAACACACTGTAACACCAAAAATAAACGGTTATTTTTTTCCTCAGGAGAAACACCTCACAAGCCAAGTTCATTTTTCATTCATGTTTAGGTTTTTATTTCTGTCAAAATGTGTGGTCACTGATGATTGTTTTCAATAGAAGAAAGAACCACCAGACATTTACATTGCTGAGTGAAAAAGATGAGCAAATAGAATTAGCATTTTCTTTAAAAGAAATGTACTCTCTTTAATGAAGATATTATGTACAATGAGGTCAAATGGAAAGGTTTACCTAGAAAACACAAGTATGTCACTTACTCAGCCTTGCTGACCTTTTTTCCTACTTCTACCGAAAGCAAAGTTTGTCAGAATGATGTTTTTCAAGAAAGTCAGTCAGCCAAAGGTGTTTGGAAAGACATGAGGGTGAGAAAATCGCAACAATTTGTATTTTTTTGTGTGTGTGAACACTCTTTAATGGGGCTTTAAGACAAGAGGGAAGAGGATCCATCCCAATCTTCGGCATAATTATCAAAGTTCGACCAAAAACAATCTGCAAAGCTTTGTAAGAATCCTAGCAGCTCAAAACATTCCCAACAATTCATGTTTTCTGTGTAATAAAGAGTTCATATGCGTTTCTATAGCATGATGTTGTTAATTTTCACAATTTAAGAAAGGATTTAGTTGGTTTCCATTGCATCCTTAGAAGACGTAAGAGAAGCTGCAGTGAGTGATATTCATTTTATTTGTAATTTCCCTCCAGACTTGCATGTAAACTGTTGTAATCACTCCTAAACCATCTGTTTGATGTGTCATTGTCTCTTTTATCAGCAGGTTCTTCAGTACCGGTAAGGAGGACTCCGTGATCTTGAGCGTGATCTCCTGTTGAGAAAGACAGCAAAAAATGATTCAAATGAGGTCAAACAGCAATACGTCAAGATGAAATGGACAAGTGTGGCCGGTCCAGACTGGTTTCAGCATACCTTCTCGATGAGCCGTAGTCCCGACCTGTAGGTTGTTCAAGATTTATGATTAGAATCTTCTTAAAGTTAGTATGTTTAAATGACAACCACATTGTACATCTACACAAAATCCTTCACTACCAAGAATTCAGTTCAATTCACACCAAGAATCTTGATTGAGGTCTTGATAGCAATATGAATGGCCTCTATCTGAAGTAGGGCTTCTTCGTACAGATACTCACTGTATTTGGCATTGGGGGAGGGCGAATGACTCTGACGTCCATACTGTCTCTCCCATTCATCTCTCTCTTTTTCCCGCCGTTCCCGTTCCCTGCAAGACCAAACAATGACCAAACTGTATCCTCTCCTTCACAAACCCAGAGGACAGTTCCTACATGAATGGGTTGCACATGTATGTACATGCTCAGACTCACTTCATGCGTATTTTCCGTGCCATTGCGCGAAGAACTCCCTCTCTTTCCTGTGATGTGAGAGGGGGGAAAACATGAGTTTTTAAAACTCAAAACTACCTCTATTACCCCCATCCACATACCACAGGTACACCCACGCTTTTACCTGTCGCTTGTGCTCCTGTTGCTGGATCTTAGCTTGTGCCGCCTTCTTATCCGCCTTGGCTGATGAAGGTGAAAGCAAAAGGTGAGACAGGGTCAACAAGCTATTATTTCACACGACTTTCCCATAACAGAGAGATCGTTTAAAAACATGAAGCATATGGGTCAAAGGCGAAATGTCTCAGTTTGGTGTTCGCATCAAATTAAATTTACACAAGTGTGTATATGTAAGACCTGTAAATATATAAGAGCATGACTACAAAATTGTTTTATATTTTAAATTATTAATAATTTTAAATAGCAATGATTTGGTATTTGGGGGTGTACAGTAGTCCTCACATAAAGTCCTTTAAAATGCCATCCAATGATTCTCCTTCCAAATTGATTTTTGGGATATAAACTGTTGCACTGAATGACATATTACAGGGTGTCTTCTGTAAATCATGCTAAAAATTAGGGCTGCACAATATATCTTTTAAGCCAGTGGTTCCCAAAGTGGGGTCGCTTAACAGTAGCTATGTTTCCATGCAAAAATACGAATGAACTTTGTGCAAAACTTTATCGCATAAAAGACATGCGAATAAATCAGCATTTGCATCCAACGAGTCAAAGCGATAACAAAATTATTACTTTCTGCTTATCTGGCGCCAAATATCAACAGTAAAAACTAAATTTGCAGTAGTCAGAGAAGTTGCGTCAATCTTTTGTTCATCTAATAAATGACTTGAGCCTCAGAAGGCAATCCTAACATGCAGTGATTGCGTGGTGGTGTTTGAAGGTGTCAGACGCTGAGCACAGATGCTCTTGATTCTGGAGGTCATTAATAATATAATAACAATACTGAAATAGTTGAGGCGTTTTACAGTGACCAAAACAAAATTTCAGATGTTTTACAATGTGCTCAGCCTGCTGGTTTGTCCATTTACGCATATTTTTATGATCACACTTATAAAAACACAACCTTTTTTAATGCACATACTGCAATTTAATGTTCATAAAAATAGGTGGATGAAAACATAGATAGTGACGGGTGTGTGTGTGTGTGTGGGGGGGGGGGGTCGCTTGATTTAAAAAAAAGTTAAATAATTTTTATTAAATTACTAGAATTACCATATTTTAACCTTAACCCACAGAAGATAAACATAGTAGTTTATAATCGTAAAAAGCAACATGCAAGTGAAAAGCCATTAAATTTATTTATTTTTTTTCACAGGATTGGTGTGTTTATGTTAGATTAATAACGCAGAAATAGCATCATCTGCAGCAGATTGATTTTATAGCACCGGGTTAAACTTTTTTTACACCTTAATGGCAGTCAAATACAATAAAAATAAATACAGGCCACAACCGAGTATTAAGGATGATCTCTGATTGGCGTGTTCCAAAATTAAACCATGAATAGACTTGCTGTAAACATTGTGTCCACCAGTCTCTTTAAGTGAGGTTAATATTAAATTAAACAAGTTCATAAATAACTATATATATTATAGCCTATGGTTGTTAAGACTGTTGCAGTTTTTGTGTTGTTAATATGCTCGTGTCTATATAGGCCTATTGTGTGCACAACGTTTGTATATTTATAGCCACCTCCAAGGAATTTGAGGGTCACGAGTCACTGGCATTGTTATTTTAGGGTTTGGGAACCCTTGGTTTAAGCATCAATATCGCAAAGTAAGTATCTGCAATTTTATGTAGGGATTATAATTAACCAGCAACCACAGTTCACAATAAAAAAATAAAAGTTAAAAAAAACTTAAAAAAAAAAAAGACTTAAAAAAAAAAAAAAAAAAAAAAAAAAGACTTTTCCGCTAATTCAAATGACTCATTTAAAATGATGAAACACGATTCTTTATATTTTTCAGGGACAACTTAAATGTTTTATGTTTAATAACTTAAATTTAACCCTTTAATGCACTACATGGGCCTAAACTGACCCGTCTAAGTTTATTTTTTCTATATCTATTTTATAGCCTGTGCATCAAAGGGTTAAGTTAATTTAATTGATTTGTAACTCGATATGTAACTATGGTTAGTTGTTTTGGAAAATATAAACACGTTTCAATAGAATGTTAACATATACTTTCTCTGTGAATGTATGTTTTGAGATTTTACTGCAAATGTCACATCCATAAGGCTGGAATTGCTCATAACTGTTTTGAATGTTAAGCCAAAAGCAGCTTTAAATGTTACAGATTTAGATTAAAGTCTTTAAAAAGCACTTCAAAAAATGTAAATATATCTGAATTATCAATTTTTTTATCAATAAAAAGCTCAAAATCGCAGCATTTGATTTAAATATCATAAATTTAGGCTCTATTTCATCCTTGCCTAATACCATTTATTTAGAAAATAATTTAAACAAACTAAAGTAATTAAAATTGTATTAGTTTTATCAATAAATCTAACTAAACTAATAAAAAAATACAATTAAAAGTGTTATTAGAGTAAGTATTATAGATTTTTAAGTGATTGTTACTTTGTATTATTAACCAATATGTCATACATGCCTGAAATAAATAGACTATAAAAAGGCAGTACGCCTGAATCAGTAACTCACATTGCCTGTTCAGGGCCTTCTGCATGCGGAGTTTGAGTTTTTCTTGAGGTGTCATCTTGGGCTGCAATGGATACAAAGACTTTAGAACAAGCAGGATAGAAAAGCTCAGACAAAGAACAGTGATCGGCAACAATAGCTAATTCAATAGCTTTACATTGTGTCGTGAAAAAACAACAGCTCTTTAAACTACATACATGATGAAGGTCCTGTTTTATAGACATGCACGTGATGTTTATGTTGTTGATGTATTGGCAGGTATATGGCAAAGAGTAAAGAGTACAACAAGGGCAACAGTGCAGAGCTACGTCGACTCGTCTTCGTCTTCGTCTCCTCTCCGGTTCCGGTAGGACACCTCGATGAGTAAGTTACAAAATGGCAGCTACTGTAGCCATTTCAGAAGGAGCTTCATTGAAACCGTTCAACCTTTACATACAAGGACAATGTGTGTTGACTTTTGCAGGTGTGTTTGTGTGTGCGACTGAGTGAAGTTGCCCTGCCTGTCTTGACAAGCCCAGTGCAGAAGTAACACCTGAGCTGTTTAACTGCTTGGAGCCATAACTCCTTCATAGTTTTCCTTTCATCAGGTTGCGCTCATTCACAAGTGTCGATCAACAACCTTTTATGCAGATTGTCAGTAAAATAAAAAAAGCACATGCATTTCTTTTCTCTAAATATAACACAAATCTACAACAGTTTCAAAAAAGAGAAAACAGGGTTTCTGCAGGTTTCGCCAAGTTAAATTTAGGACTTTAAACCATTTGTAAGACTATTATAAATGAAATTTTAGACTAAACACTAAGGAATATTTCAAATGGTCCAGATGGAAAAGATGATTATTTGCCCTATCAAAAACAAGTATAATTTAATACATTTATATACAGTAATAATAAAAAAAATATCTATTTTTATTTCTAAGCAAAATATTCTAAATATTGTGTAAAAACAAGCAAGCTCAACTTGTATCCATACACTTTTTTCCCAACATTTTTTTTTTAAACAAAAAGAATGAACAAATGTTTTAAAAGTTTTAAAAACTATATACGAGTAGCAGTGCAATATGGCTGTATATCAGCACTGGTGGAAGGCGTAAGTTGGTATGAGGCTGCAGGCCGAGTGCCTTGGTGTCCCACCAGTGATTATATCCAGCCACATCGCACTGCTACGAGTGGGATATTGGGTTTATATATAACAGTTCGACGGCATAATCGTGTGTATAAAAAAGAAAATCAAACACAGAGAGTAAAATAAAATAAAGGGTCTCAAAACCCCTTTGTAAGAGGAACTACTTTCTTCCGCCATTCATTGGCATCTGCAGCTGATGGTCAGAACAGCAGAAAACATTACTAATTTACCAATGTCACCTTAAAACTAGTATTTGATTGATTCCCTAGTGTAATGTCTAAAGTGATGACAAACAGGTGATTTTGCTGACATTTTAAGATTATAAGGCTGAACTGCATGAATTGCCATCAGTCTACATAAATATCTCCCAGTATTTCTCTGTTGCAATTGGGAGATCACAATATTACTATGGTATAAATACAGCACTACTACATATACTACAATACACTACTTTGTGCCAAAAAGAGGGCGGCTGATCACAAAGTGGACAGGCAATCACACGCATTTCAAATGAGAAAATAGTTTCTCTGAAGAGCCGTAAGATTGGCAGGAGCCCCGGCTTGATTGTTAACTGCATCAGCCTGTCAGGGGTGAGGGAGGCGGAGTCTTTAGCAACAAATTCAAGATATATCAAATTCTTACTGACTTTGGCAGCTCCAGTCTCTTTACCACCCGGAGTTTCAGGCCTATGAGAGATAAAACACACACAAAAAGAGAATCTTGTTGTTACTTTTCAGGCATGTAATAAGGTAAACACATAAAAAGAATTTACAGAACTTTTATAAAGGCTTCGGTTCATGATTTGCATATTTCTAAGGCCTCAAAATAACGGCGTTTAATTTTTCTTAAAAGGTCCCATGAAGAGCTTTGAAATATGCATCTTTATTCATTGTATGACGTAATTTCAACCGAAACACGAAGAGAGGGTGGAACAGTGTAGCTCCTCCCCCTTTTTAAAAACAACCAATAGCGTTTTGTTTTTATCACCCCTCTGCCAGTGAGAGTGGTTGAGCTCAAGTGCATCAAATAAAAAAGCAAATAAGAAATGGCTTGAAGGGGGCGGGGCTTGTCAAATACTAGAGAGTATTTGATTGGTTATGATTTGATGAGAAACAAGTATGAGGTGACGCGAATAGAACTGTTGGTCAATTTAGGCAGTAGTGACAAACTACAAGCTTTACATGTTTATATCAGTTTCATATCTTATAAATGTGAATTTTGGCACTGTTTTGGAGCACACTAGATTATACGGTCTTAAGATACTAACATCCAAAACATTTTATTTAAATTTCATGAGAAAACAAAAATCGTAGTTTCATTTGACACACTGACAGATAAGAATCAATACAACTGTTAATCACTAAGAACAAAATTTGACTTATTTTTTTTATATATGCATATACACATTAAGAATATATTGTCATATAGCATATTGTCAAGATCCTTATCAATGAACTGGTTTTACATGTTGTGTAATGTCCTTAAAATAAAACTTACTTCAACCATGTGTTAAATGTTACTGTTGTCATTACTCTTAAGTTGACTCGTGAAATGTAAATAAACAAAAAGAAAATCCAAAAATTGTGTTTTCACATTTCCCAGTCCTACCACTCTAAATTATCAACATATCAAAACTTTGCTGAAAAACCCGCTGTACAATCTTCTGCATGCCTTCTGCTTGCTAGTTCATATTTTATTTTAGAGGAAGTAAAAGTCCTTTTAAAGGTATAGTTCACCCAAAAAACAAAATTCTGTTCGCATATGAAACTAATTCCTGACAACTTGTTTCCAGCAGTTCAGAATAAATTCCCTTTCAACCCCTAAACCATTTTTTATTACATTTTTAATAAAATGTTCTTTTATATTGACAAACATATATATATATATATATATATATATATATATATATATATATATATATATTAAAAAAATATATACACGCACACACACACACAAAAAAAAAAAGTAATCGCAAGTACACGGGAGCGCGTGCACGCTTTTTAACAGTTGCGCGCATCACATCACCTGTGCGAGTAATCATCCTCTCATTCGGTATTCACCTGCTTTGTCTTGCGCGAACAGTTATTGTTTTCAGTCGTGCTGCTTCTCAATTCTAAGAACACATTTGCACGGATATTGGGCCATCCTTATTGTCGAACCCTGCTTTAAGAAAACTACAATGTAAAAAGTCTTTCCCACCTGCCAAAGTGGCTAGTGGGAGCGGCTGTCCAACCCACCAAAGCTGAAATCTACCCACATTTGGCGGGTGTTAATGTAAAGCCCTGTGTATATATATATATATATATATATATATATATATATATATATATATATATATATATATATATATATATTCAAAAAAATACAAGAGACACTTTGACTTACTTTCTCAGTTTGTCTGGAGCAGCAGAGCCAGGTAGAGCAGAATAGGAGGAGGGGGAGGAGCTGCGGCTTGCAGCAGGGGAACGTGAGGGGCTTTGACTGATACTGCCGCCCCTCCTGTATGCAGAACTGCGACTTCGCTGCCGATAACGATCAACTGATCGTGAACGTGAGCGAGATCTAATACACAAAGCATTTCACTTGTCAATTTCACAATTTTTGTGTAATATTTCGTAAGGGTTGAATTCTTCAAAGAAATTCTCCTGCCTGGTTCGTCTACGACCCGTGTAGCGCCTCCCCCTGTCCCGATCTCTGTTTCTGTCTCTCCCCCGATCCACAGAACGAGACCTCGTCCTGTCGTATCGTCTTCTTGAACTTACTCCTCCACTGCGCTGCCGTGACCGTGAGTCAGATCGTCGCCGAGAGCGAGATCGAGACCTGGAGTAGCGGCTGTCCCGGTCCCTGCCGCCACGGGAACGACGACTCCGACGAGAACGTGAGGATGAGCGTGACGAACGGTGTGATGAGGAGCGAGAGGAAAATGATGAAGGACTGGAAGAAGACCGTCTTCGGCTGAAATAAATCCACAATGTGACATGTTATCGTAGGCAACCTAGAAATCTGATCACAAGACACTCCAAAGACCTTTGATTTTCAGAATTTAAAGATTCCGGCTTTTTTAGCCACAAAATAAAATCAACTAAACAGCAAACTAAGAAATTGGCTGGTTTTATCTCAACCATTTTAAAATATCCCCATTTATGCTGTTAAACAATTACACATCCAAAATAAAAGTTTGTACCTGCATATAATATGCGTGTACTTTGTATATTTATTATGTATTAATTATGTACATCCATGTACAGTTTAATTATATTTGTATATAAAAATACTAATTACATATAAATATTTTATTTATTTGTGTGTATTTACATATAGATATTATAGTCAATATTTGAAATAGATAAAAAAAAAAGTATATTTTTTAAATCATAAGTATTAGGACAACTTTGATGAAAGGATTTGATCCACTTAAAATGTTGACTACTGTATACATAGTAGAGATATGTTATGTAAATACTAGGGCTGGGCAAGTTATCACAATATCCGCAATTTGTATTGTACATTAACAGTTAAAAAAGTCTGTAACAGTTAAAAGTCTGTTACTTACTGTTTCTGAATACACAGAGACAAGCCATGAATCATGGTCACTTAATGCCCTGATCACAATGTATAACGGATCTTTTAAAGGGGTGGTCCAGAGTGTTTTTTTTAAGGCTTGGTTGTGTTCATAAGATGCAATTTGTGCTCATGCTTCATTTGTAAAAAATAATAAAATAAAAATACAAAAAATCATGTTATTTTTTCATATATCTTTTGATTATATACAGCTACTCACAAAACATGAAAACAAAAAAACAAAGGCCCGCCCAAGAGGCTCTGATTGGTCAGCTAAAAATGTTCTGTGATTAGTGATCGGCTCCATGTCACCAGGAAAAGTGTTGTGTGTATTCAACCATGCGCTTTTGCGCCGTGTAAAAAATGTCAGTCAGAGTAGCTGTTAGCCATATCAGTTTGTGCCCGAATCAGACAGAAAATGAAAAGGACACAGCTGAACCTCATGCTTGCTCCCTAAAATAAAATCTCTCATATTTATTCAGGTTATAAGCATGTGCAAGTAAGATGAAATGTATCTTTTGTGAGTTTGTTGTTAGAGATGTTGAACGCAGGGAAAGCTGCAGTGTAGACAGATACTGCAGCGCAGGAGAAGATTGTGGGTGTTTACAGCAGTTTGACTGATAGCGTTAATGATAGACACTATGCATGTAATTGATCAATTTTAACAAATGAAACACAGGTTGTGACTTACAATAAACAGCTTTGTCTATTATGGTTGGAGTTGCTCCCTTTTTGAGGAGTTTTCAGCCGAATCCAGCACTGAACAGAGAGATTCTGGAAGCTGTCCTTTGTCAAATGCTAACTATATATTTATTATTATTCTCTTGAACATGATTCAAAATAAACTTTGAGCACGTCTCTCTTTGTGTTGTATCCTTTGGATTCCCAAATACAAAAACAGAAGAAGCTCTGTGGAAATAGCAGCATTTGGATCCCATTTTAGCGTCCTCTGCTTGACATTACAGTGCCTCTGGCCACATCCCTTCGCAGTGCACAAGTTTTAACATTGTTTTACATATGTTGCTCAGCGACATGGACACCTCCAAATGGTGTTAAAAGTGTCACAAACTGTAATTAAAAGGTATAATTCACCCAAAAATGTAATTTCTGTCTTCATGTAATGATGTATTCGTGGCCGCAAAAATCATTTGTGACGTGAGCTGTTGACCGTGAGAGGGCGGGTGCACACCCTAGTTAATAGATAGATAGATAGATGCACGCGCATCAACTTTAGAGAACAGAACCTGCATAGGCTGGGAATAACAGGTAATAAAGTTGTAAATAACAGTCAGTTATTTTAGCAATTCAGTTGGCACAGAGTGATCGTTTGGGAGCCGCACGGGAAGTATGAACAGCATTTAGCAGTGAAAATGAAACCGAAAGCTGAGTAATTTTAGAATAATGATTACAGCATGCATTTAATGTTTTTCTTTCATAGCGAACACAAAGTGTTGTGCATGAGAATAAATGTTTAACTCACTAAAACTACTCTAGCCTATATAATGGAATCTAATAATGACAAATGCCTGATTTTACCAGTGAATATGTGGTCTAATACTGTTCTCAACAACAGATAGCAAACATATGACTCAAACATAATAATTCAATGTCAGAATTAGTTGTATTCTGATGTCATCACTGTACTGTGCATTAATGACCGGGACAAATTTAAAGTCTGTTCAAGTCCACCATTCAAAGTCTATTCAAAATGTAGCATTTTAACCAACAGTAGATCTACACATAATAATATTATTTTTGTTTTACCATATATTATATTATAATAATAATATTAGGCAACTCATATTAACCTTTATTTTACATCTACAGAATCGTGAGAAAAAATTTTGATTTTGATTTTAAGCAAAAAAATAAAAAATAAATCGTGATTCTCATTTTAGCTAGAATCGTGCATCTCTACTTTTGAGTGTGTAAGTGCTTAAGTACATAGTGCGTGAGTGCAAAGTGTATAGTGTGCCATTTGAGACGCAGCTAATGTCTACCTTTGCATTGAACTTTGAGCGCATAACATTCAGAGATGTTGTTTATGTTCACAAAGCTACATTACACAACTAAAAATTTAAATATGATATTGTAGTGGACCACCCCTTTAATATATAATGGAAATAATGCTCTAACAGAGCAACTTATTTGTTCAAAGTATTGGCAAGCCAAATGTCATTGCACTTTTTGTTGCCCAGCAATAGTAAATAAAAATTTATTTTTTACATGATTAACTTATTAAAAGCACTAAATCACTAATGAACCTTTTGTCATTTGGTAATCACGCAGGCTACATGCTAACACAATTGAATGTGCTTATAAATAAATGGAGGGAAAAAGCCACTAAGGAACCAGATAGTAGAAAGGGGAAGTTACCGACCGGGAGCCCCTGCTATGACCTGCGCTGTTGGAGGTGCTGTGGCTTGATGCCGCTGCAGGTGGGGCTGCTGTGGCAGTGGCTCCCTCTTCATCACTGCCCCCAAAGCTTGTGATGAAGGTGATCTTATCATTGCCTGGAGTTCGGGAACGAGAGCGTGACTCTGAACTTGAGTCCGACTCTGGCCTGCGACAGGAGAGAGAGAAATGAGTGTCATTAGAAACATTAATATTTATATATATGATGCACGTGACTTTTCAAAAGTATGGGGTTGGGCTGCAAAATATTGGAAAAATTACACTTTGCAATTTTTTTTATTCTGCGATATATATTGCGATATGAATACAATTTCACTAGATGAGTATGTTTGTAAAGAATCTATAATTTTTTATTGATTGAGAAGATTCTGTATAAAGTGCATACGATATAATAAACTATCCACAAGTATAGATAAATTTATCAAATAAAAATATGCTATTTAAATAAACAGTTTTATTGTTTTTCAAAGAGTCCAAATGTATTCAAGTATGCAGTAATGAAAAATCAAATGTAAAATAATACTGCATAGTTTTCATTTTTATAAATAATAAATAAAATTAATTGTTATTAACTGTTCAAAGTGACAAACAGTACATTTTCTTATGCCTGAATGCTTTTAAAGCCCTCACACAGTCTCAGGCCTCAAAAAACTCTAGCAAAATAATCAATTTCAATCTAGATTCTACATTGCGTATACTCGTGATGTGACAATTGCGAATGATCTCATTGCAAAATCGATGCTGAAACGATATTGTGCAGCCCTAGTATGGAGACATTACAATTTTCAGTGTCAACTACATAATTGAAACAGAAATAATATTTAGTTCTATGTTCTAATACTTAAGTATAAATGAAAGAAATTAGAAAAAAAAGCAAAAAAACAAAACAAAAACTGAAACATAGTATTGCGCACGTTTATTTACACTGAAACTACCAGAATTCATGATCTTCATTGCTCAATATGATCTTTAGACTATTTGTGTCACATCATATTTACAGTTGTAGCTTCTATTGAGATCTTTTATAGAGTCACCACCCTAAAAAAAATATATTTTTTGTTAATAAAGCCCAAATTATTTACTTGTTCTTAGACTGCCCCCGAAGATGCGTACCTCACTTTGTACAGAAAGTGGAAAAGTAGATTTTTCATCACGATAAAAATGTTGTTTTAAAACACTTAAAGTACAAAATAATGTTTTTGCTCTCAGAAAGTTGTTTTTGTTAGTAGAAAGTTGCTAGGCACAATAGAGGCACACATATTTAAAGGCACAGGAAAAGGTAGCGGACACTAAAATGCATGGTCAATTTGATCATTATGGCTTTTCAAAGTAAAAACACATTTTTTGTGTTTAAATAATATTAGAATAAACTATACACACATTTACTAAAAAAAGTCAGGACACTATAAATGTTATTTGAACTAAGCTATAAAATAAAAGCTCTTCAAAATGGTCAAAATGACTGCCTCAGTAATTCTAGTGTTAAGGCTGCACAATATATCAACTGCTATTGTGCTGTGGCTTACTGTTATTTCTATTACATATGAGTTTTAGAGTAAAATCAGTAATAACAGTAACAAGTAATAATGTTTAATGAATACTGTTGCATATATAAATTTAGCATAAGGTACAAATTAAACTGACATGGGTCAATTAATACAAACTTTAATTCTGGCCATTTATTGGTCATCAGTAGGCCCACACTGAATCTGCAGATTTTAACAGATGTTTAGCCCATAGTTGAGTCTATTTATTTACTTAAGTAAATTTGTGTAAATTTATATTTATTCACCTTTTAAATTAATTTCAGTAACATAATTGCGTAATATGAAAATGTTTAATTGACTAATTTACAATTCAGTTTGTAAAGTAGTATCGTCTGCCTTTTATTAGATTATATTATAAAAGACTTTGTTAACCAAATAAGTGGATCTAATTGAATTTGAATTGTAAAAATGTAATAAGTAAAATGTATTTTTTTTTATTTCATATATAAAGATTTTGGTCACAATACTCCCAAAATCATTCTGCATAAATCTGCAGATATATATATATATAAAATCAGCACATTATTATCATTCAAACCCTTTCTATAGCTGCATACTGAATTATAATTAATGGATTTAAAGTCAAACATTATTCCATTATTCAAAATGTGTGCAAATGGTTCACTTGCCGTTTGTAGGGGTCATATGTAGGACTGTCTCTTCTGGCATAGCTGTTTTGAAAATTCAAATATTAATTTCAGTGAATGTACTACTAAGAATTAAGACTATTATATTAAAGTATGAATGTTAGTGTTGATCTGTTACCTGGGTGGGCTGATCTGCCTGCCTTTCATATACTTCTCTCTGAACTCTCTTCGTTGTCTGCGAGACCGCCGGCCCTGAAGGAAACACAACAACACATTACCAACACAAATATTGACAGACATCTTAAATGAGAAGCAAGACCAATTAAAAATTGTCAGTTCATACAGAGTACATGGCCTTCTCTGCCTCCAGTGCTTTAGCGTGTTTAATGGCCTCCACTTCCTCCTTGTCTTTCCTCAACATCCTGTCACAAACATCAAATTTAAAGTACACATACAATTTTTGGAAAAATTACAAGATCATGTTTTATTCGGTAATAAGTATAATATGCTCAAACAGCAAACTTCTAAATTGAATATCAGTGGTTTAGCTAAAGAATGAGTAAACGAACCAAACAAAGTCTCCGTCTGCCATGCCGTAAGTGGTGGCCATCTTGTTAATCTCCAACACCTGTTCAGGGCTCAGTTCATCTACGTCCACCTCAACATCTACAACATGGTAAAGCATTAACACATTAGTTTTAAAGGGCTTACCTTCTACATTTAAGTAAATCACATATTTAAAGTGTTTCTATATTTCTATAGTTATATGGTTCAAAACATATTTTACACCGTATTTGTTTCTTTTTGGCAGGGTAAGTGAAAAATCCAAAAAACGAAAAATACGACATGCATAAACATTGTAATCGAATTTGATGCTGTGGTAATATTTCTCTGTTGCATCCAGTTTCAATATATTTGAAGGTACTGCAGAATTCCAGTATTGTGACAACACTATTAAGTTAAGCAAATTAATTATTCAAACACAAAGTCTATTGCTGTGTTCACACCAGATGCGGAACCCGCGGATAAATCACACTATTAGCGTGTAAATTGCCGCGTAAACATTTGAGTTCATTCATGCGTCAAATTCACTTCAGAACAGATGCAGATTCATGTGATGGGCAGGGCTTCTGTCTGCTCGGTGACTCTATCTTCGTTGCTAAAAGGCTAACATGGATTTTATTAAGAAAATTACAGTGTTTATGTGCTTTATGAAGGCTAAAAAACAGCATCGATGAACTGTTGTCGGTATCAGCTAGAGGAATTCCCCCGGGACACTAGCAACAGGCGCTACGTCATAATCACGCCCCCACAAGAGCAAGCTCCTGATTGCTTAACGGGGTGCGAATGTCTGCTGAAGTTCAGATTATGCAAAACGTGCATCAAACGCATATTTGTGCATTTGTGCAGCTCCATTCGTGCCACGCCATTCGCGCATATCGTGCAGCAAGATGTCTATTCGCACATTTACATTGACTCAACATGTAAAATATTTGCGCTTGACACTACTTCCGCATCTGGTGTGAACACAGCTTTAGAGACGTACCGATGTCAGGGATGATTTCGTCTTCCTCAGACTCGCTGTTTTCCGAATCCTCCTCAGTTCCCTTCTTTGATTGTTCATCTTGTTCAGTCACTGTGCTGTCCTCATACGTATAACCAATCTGAGCTTTCTTCTCAGCGAGTCTATCAGAGAAAAACCATAAGGTGTATCAGAATGTATTTAAAGGGTCACGAAACACCAAAACACATTTTTTGAGCTGTTGACAGTCGTATATGTGTCCCACACTGCTAAAAACACTATTAGGACACCTATATTTCACAAAAAAGTGTAAATTGGTTGTTTTTGCGTTATTTCAAGCAAATTTGTACTTCCTATTTGAAACGAATTTTTGAAGCTGCGTCACGGTCATGACATAATAGCGTGTATTCCAGCGTGCAGACTGGGCGTCTGTGCCTGAGAGAGTCTTATTATGTCTTACAGTGTGTTGCATTAATGCATGAGTAAGGCTTGGTTCAAACCAATCAGCGCGCTCTATCGTGCAACTTCATTAATATTCATTTGTGTCACCGTGTTTACACCACAAAGACGCCACGTTGTGTTGGCATAACAAGCGTGAAGTGTTGCTTTTATAGTTTGCTGCCGTTAAGTTTCGTTTTCATTTTCTCTCTGTGAGAGCTTATCTGGATCACGTGTGGATTAACAGTGTACGCGACGCTCGACAACAATAACTTACGTGTCTAAGGAGGTTTATTGTTTACCTGAGAGCTGTTCTCATCTGCAAACGCTGAAATCCGGATTCGCTTGTAACGTTAGTCTTCTCTCCATAAAGACGCGGCTCTAGTTGCTGTGGATTGTCCTGTCTCTACAGATTTGGTAAGTGAGCGACCAGTGCTCTTTGTTTATTCAGTTTGTTCGTATCGAATTAAGTTAACTATTGCACTGAGTGCAGAAATGTTAGCACCGCATTTAGTGACCGGAATAACACACGCGGCTTTCTGACGCTACCTGCCGTGTGCATCTAAGTTTCCGGGAAATGCGGAGTTTTTTTTTCTCTCATTCGCCGTGCGGTATCAAACATAGCATGAAAAATACACGCTTGCAGCAGTTCCTCGAATCAAATATCTCGTTTGTCGCGAGGGGCATGAATGAATTCCCTGAATGAAAGAGCCAAACTGCAGTTAAAGTCCAACATTTAATAATTCAGCAAATAATTCGACTACAGATGTCCATGTAGGTTAAACACCATCACTTTCTCCTGTCTGTGTGGGTGTGTATTTTGACTCTGAAACTCGTGCGTGCACAAATAGACACTCCCACACCATCCCACTTTAGTTCCTCCGACACTCCCCCCTAAACAGAGCTGGACACGCCCACTTTTCTGACTTTTTCCAAAGTAGAGGTGTGAAAACACCCAGCTAAAACGAGGGGGTTTCATGGCCCTTTAAGCATGTATGGTGTAACTAGTGATTTGGGAGATCCTACTTTTTCTTTTCATCCTCATTTGGCTTCTGTAGGCCACCGTAGAGTTCATCCACATAGATCTGGTACAAGCACTGTTCTTCAGAGACTATAAAGAGACAAGCATATTTTTGTGTATCAAAATCATACAGCCACATTACAAGGGTTAAAACTGCATCAAAGCAGAATGACACTGAACAACACTCACTGCAGGCAAAGTCGTTCTGCACCAGCCCTCTGTAGCGCTCATAATTGCACTTCCGCTCTTCTGATTCCTGCTCAGGGGTGCTGTGACAGAAACAATTAACTCATTTAAAAAAAATAATAATAATAAACAACCACAAGCTTGTTCTTCATACCTCACTTAAAAGATCAGAGATGATTTGACAACTCCTGGATCTTTTAATTGTGCTAACAGACCTCTAGTTTGGTTCTTTAATCAATTTGCAGATAAGATTCAAATAACTAGACAAATTGATCAGAGATTGCTGCATGAGTTCATGTTTGTTGATTAAAAATACAGCGATTGGCTGGCAGCAAGACAACAGCATTATGACTTTGCTTAATTAATAACCAATGTGCGATATGTACATCTTTAAAGGGCACCTAGGTTACCCCTTTTTTCAGATTTAATATAAGTCTTTTCCATCTCTAGAATGTGTATATAAAGTTTCAGCTCAAAACACCCATTAGATTTTTTCAATATACCTTTTACAAGATCTTGTTTTATACACATTTTCACCAGGGGGTGGTTTTTTCGTACTGCGCCTTTAAGACGAGTCTTCCCCGCCTACTGTTTTTACGTGCCTTCCCACGTGCTTTAATCTCCTCCCTCGGCTGCGTCAGACAACAGACAGACTTAAAGGAAGAAGGTCTAACGTAGCGTTTGTGAGAAATACTACAAAAAGAACTTTACTAATCAGTATTTGTTGTGAAGTTGCATTGATGAGTCACATGCAATATCGTTACAAAGTTCACACACGCACACAGACAGGCAGACAGAAAGAGCGCTTAGCTTTGCACTATTTTTGCACTCAAATGTAACAGGATACAGGCTAACCTCCACTGCTGTGTGGATTTCTGTTATGTTATTGTACAAAATAAACCTGATTTAACGTCCAAAAAAAACAGGATTGAAGCATCTTCTTTTATACATTAATTGTTCTGACACGCGGCTGTGCTGATGAAGTAAAGCTGAAGTAAATCGCTGTACTTTCTTACACACGTGCACTTTTAAAACACTTTAAACATATGAAACTTGCTCTTAATCGCATTTGATGATGATTGCTGATCCTAGCGAACAGAACAGTACTTTTATTCCCGGTTGCTTTGCGTATGTCTGGTCTTGTTGACATATACACATGACTACCGGGACATGTTAATGTGCGCAGCTGTCAATCAATTCGGTGGGCGGAGGGACCGCACTCCTACGTAAAGTTGCGGTCGGTCTGAAAACCGCTCCAATTGGTCCACCGTTTTAATGTTGTTAAATAAAAAAAAATTAAAAAACCTGGGTGTGTTTATATCACCCCAATATGATGGTCTATACACTATACAGATATGTTTGTCCAAATAGCTTGAAAAGTAGATTTTTCACCATAGGTGCCCTTTAAGACTTTTTCTTTAAAATCGGATTTCTTTAAAAATAAGCTATCTTCACTGCATGTCAGATATACGATGTGAAGTGGGTCTCAGATCGGACAAGAAGCACTGCAATAAATTCCATTTCCCCCATCATGTCTTTAAATCTGAGTTTACTTTACCCCAGTATTTTCAATGGAATTTTTGCGCAAGCCTGTTGCTACTGACGGGCGCTAGTGGTTACATGGTCTTACACCTATTTTTACGCTTGAACAACTAAAAGAATGCTTAAGTCTATTTAACTGAATGTATTGTCATTACAACACTGATGCTGTAAAAACAACCTAGTGTAATTGAAAAGTCTCATTAAGCATTCAATGGCTTTAACAATCTAGCTGAGCATAGAGCACATTATTAACCATTACACAAAAGTTCCAGCTGATGAAACAGTTTGTAGGGTTGCTGATGAAATAGTGATAAGTAGGGTTGGGTGCTGCGACGAGAACGTAAGAAGCATCAAGGGATGCATCGAAGGCAAACATAAGTATGCTTTGTGTTACACCATCTCTAAATATTTAATTCTAAACAGCTTTGAGGGATACGGACACCACTAGCGATGTCCGGCGTTTGTTCTTGTTGCTTATAGAAGGCAAAGCGCACGCAGTATGGCGCATGCGGTGAGCGACTCCCTTCATCAACACGCATGATCACATTAATCTAAATTGCTTAAACTTAGCATTCTAAAAGTATGGCAGTATTTTACAAGCAAGAATTCTGACACACCAACATGCAGTAGATGCTTTACAAAAGTTGCATGTAAGAGGGGAAACATGTCAGACTTATAAAATTTGAGGGCTCATGGAATCAACTTAAAGGTGAGGAAATGACTGTCTTTGCATTATCTGGCACTTTCAGTCAGTATGTTTACATGGACACCAATGCTCCAATTTTAATATAATTAAGACAATACTCTGATCAAGAGTCTACCACGTAAACAGTGATTTGTGATTATCTTAAAGGACTACAGACACAAACTGCGGAGGAAACATTTATAAGCTGGTGACACAATGACGTTACTGGATCTATGTGCTATAACATGTAACTGGGAATCCTGAGTGTAATATTTAAAAAGCAACTCATGTTAACACCTGAATCATATTATTGTCTCATTCAGATTAAGGCAAATCATTAGATCACTGATGTCCATGTAATAGTAGTCACAAGCCCCAAACCCCCCCAAAAAAGTGTTCCCTAATTTTGATGACAGCCTTTTCACAGGTTAGTAGAAAGCTAATGTAATGTTAATAGCATAATGCAAACCTTGCATTCATGCTAACAAACAGATGATCAAAATAAATATATCAATGCAATTCAAATGTATAAAATATGAATTCATGTTTACTTTAAACTTATTATAAATAAATATTTTTATTTTTCAATTATAATGATTAAAATATTTTGTTTTTGTTATAAAAGTATAAATTTTGTGCCGGTATTGAAATCAACCCAAACGATATCCAACCCTAGTGATAAACAATAACTTTTCACCACTTAAAGTACTTGTACAGGTTTATACGTTTGTTTTTCAAGAGTATTGTCTTTAGCAATTCATTTCATTTTAACTGTAGAGTTCATTAATCTCCTAGTATAAGGAATAACTATTTAAATATATATATATTTTTTAATAATTCTTCTGAGATTTGAGAAGTGCATCTCAACCTGCATACTCAAATTCAAATTGACGACTAAATAGAATGTATATAATTATTTCTTAACAAATAAAGAGTACACACAGGAATCAGAGTAAAATTAAATACATTTTAAGACCTTTTTAAGACTTTTCATACATTTTAAGACCTTAAAACCACTTTAAGTTTCAACCAGAAACACTGGCGAGATTTTAACTTACAGTATATTTACTAAATATTAATGTAAGGAACTAATCCAAAAATAAATCATTATTCAAAACTACAAAATTGTTTAGAAAATAATTTTAACACTTTAATTGCTAAGTTCACATATGATGTCACCGATTTGGTGAAAAAAAAACACAAAATTACGATTAGTAAAAACATTGGCTTTGATGCAGTTACATTTTCATTTAATGAAAAATACACGGTCAGTTTTTATTTAATCCATGTAGTTCTGAGAGCCGCATATTTTGAATTTGTCAGACACATTAAGGTAAGTGTGTATAGGTCTCTCTCTCTCTCTCTTACACACTCACAGACACACATACACACTTTAAATGTTGTTATACTTTATATAAAATCCAGAAACTATGCTTTTTAACCTTTATCTGAAGGACTAATGGTGCCAATGGATCAACAGTAAAAATTACAAATCAAATGTTACCTCTTTCCAACAGGGAAAACCTCCAATAATTAAAAAAAAAAAAACACCTGATTATATGTTGTCATGGTTTTGCAGTCAAAAAATGTGATTATAATGGAAGTCAAAAGGGCAAAAACAGCCACGAACAGTAAATTAGCAAGATTTTTTTATCAATCAAAAACAATGCAAACAATGCAACAAAGGCAATGTTGTTTCACATGTCCAAGACTGTGGTTAAAACAAAATAAAAAAATAAAATTCAGTCCAACATTACTTTTTATATTGTAAATACATAATTTTGTGTTTTTTTTTCACCAAATCAGTGACATCATTTATGAATTTGGCAATTAAAGATGTAAAATCTTGTAATTGTCTAAGCAATTTAGTAATCTGGACTAAGGTTAACAGATTTATGCAAAGGAATTGAAAAAAATATGAATGTGATGCCTTTTTACAGAGGTTTCATTCAGTGGATTTTTTCATCCCGATAATAAACAAAGGGTAAAACATTTGACCAGAGTGTATCCTTGGGTTCTTAAAATTTTTAAAGAATCTTCTCAAAATATCTGTCAAATTGAGATTTGTCACCAAAAATCATTCTGCTAGCTGAAACAGAAAAAGTTATGGGCAAATTAAGACTCAAAATCACTCCAGCGTGCATCAAAACATCCCCAACTGTACATAAGAGTTAAACGAAACAATCAAATCCAGCTTACTGAATAATCCACATATGAGGAACGAACCAAAGTTTTGCCCAATGTCATCGAAATGTCCTTTAATCTCTAGTGGTGTTCAGTCATTTTAGACCAAACAAAATGCTTTGAACCAAAATGGTGCAAACAGAAACACAAACACCAGTATTTTCCATAATTTAATATTTGTAAATAATAAATAATATAATATAACACATAATATATTTTTCATTCCTTTGACTATTCTGGATACTAATAAAAGTTAAGAAATTGATCTCGAGTGAGGGGACCTGAATCAAATGTTAATAATAATTATTTTTCAAATATTTATTGTTTTCCCAGTGTTGAGTTGCGGCTGGAAAGGTACCCCTGATTAATAAAGGGCCAATGCCGAAAAGAAAATGAATAAATTAAATATTTAATGTCTTATTTCAACAATGCATATTTGACATTGTTCTACTGTTTGCCAGCTGACTTACTTTCTGGAAATTCTGATTCCAGAATCTAATATTCTGGATTCCAGTCCAAAATCTAATAGCAATCTGCCTGCCAAGAGAAGCACATTTGTTTTCATTTTGACTGTTAATCAAAATGAACTGAAATAACTAATAAATGTTTTCTGTCTTAAATGAAAGATTGATTTGATTATATAGTCCTATTAAAATATCAAAGAATAAAAAAATACTGAAAATTTACATGAATTTCATTAAATAAAAAATAAAACTTCTGTCTACTGTCTGTTTCAAATGTAGAGTACAACAAGTGTCATCCCTAAGTTTATAAAACCCTGGACCAGACAGGGAGTTAAATCATGCCACCACTTAGTAAAGGTAGCATCCTTTACAATTCCTTGCCTATTCAAGTCTATTTAGTTCATTGTCTATTATCAGATGCATTAATCAAAATTAGAAGTTTATTCACCAACTGTTCAACAACTGTCCAACAAGCATACACACAAGACATTTAACATAGTTTTCAATACCTCTAGGTACATACACACATGCATGACAGAATGGATATTTGAATAAGTGTAATTTAGTAACTCACGTAGTGCTAAGGATGGGTAGAGGCGTATAAGTAGGGATGTAGTCCAGGTGAGCTCTGACATCAAACCTGTCAATCATGTTGTTGGTATCTCCTTGCCAAGGCATCCTGTTAAGACAGAACAAAGTTGATAGTTTTCTAAAAAGTGCTTGTGCAAGAACAATAAGCATTTATGCAATCTCATCTGTATGATAGTTGGTGCAATTAAATACAGAATTGATTTTAAAATTGTATTATTTGTTTACAAAGCCGTCAAAAATCTTGCTCTTCAGTAACTTACTGGCTTGCTCTGTCCAAAAACCCCCTCTTGTTCATTGAGATCTTTTTATTTTAATTTACTCACCATGCCTAGAACATGCCTTAAAAAACGAGGTAATCGAGCGTTTGCTGTTGCTGATCCTAAACTCTGGAACACTCTACCAATCCACATTAGACTTTTCTCCATTTCTGTGTTTAAAGGGTCACGAAACACCAAAACACATTTTTTGAGCTGTTGACAGTCGTATATGTGTCCCACACTGCTATAAACACTATTAGGACACCTATAGTTCACTAAAAAGTGTAAATTGGTTGTTTTTGTGTTATTTCAAGCAAATTCGTTCTTCCGGTTTGAAACGAATTTTTGAAGCTGCGTCACGGTCATGACATAATAGCGTTGTATTCCAGCGTGCAGACTGGGCGTCTGTGCCAGAGTGAGTCTTATTACGTCTTACAGTGCGATGCATTAATGCATGAGTAAGGCTTGGTTCAAACCAATCAGCGTGCTCTATTGTGCAACTTCATTAATATTTATTAGTGTCACAGTGTTTTCACGACAGAGACGCCACGTTGTATTGGCAAAACAAGCGTGAAGTGTTGCTTTTATAGTTTGCTACCGTTAAGTTTTCATTTTCTCTCTGTGAGAGCGCAGCTGGCGTCACGTGTGGATTAACAGTGTACGCGACGCTCGACAACAATAACTTACGCGTCTAAGGAGGTTTATTGTTTACCTGAGAGCTGTTCTCATCTGCAAACGCTGAGATCTGGATTCGCTTGTAGTCTTCTCTTCATAAAGACGCGGCTCTAGTTACTGGTGATTGTCCTGTCTCTACAGATTTGGTAAGTGAGCGACCAGTACTCTTTGTTTATTCAGTTTGCTCGTATCGAACTAAGTTAACTATTGCACCGAGTCACCGAGTGTAAACACGTTAGCGTCACAACCAAACTTTAACCTCGTGTAGGGTTTTTACCGCATTTAGTGACCGGAATAACACACGCGGCTTTCTGACGCTACCTGCCGTGTGCATCTAAGTTTCCGGGAAATGCGGAGGTTTTTTTTCTCTCATTCACCGTGCGGTATCAAACATTGCATGAAAAATACACGCTTAGAGCAGTTCCTCAAATCAAATATCTCGTTTGTCGCGAGGGGCATGAATGAATTCTCTGAATGAAAGAGCCAACCTGCAGTTAAACGTCCACCATTTAATAATTTGGCAAATAATTCGACTACAGATGTCCATGTAGGTTAAACACCATCACTTTCTCCTGTCTGTGTATTTTGACTCTGAAACTCGCGCGTGCCCAAATAGACACTCCCACACCATCCCACTTTAGTTCCTCCGACACTCCCCCCTAAACAGAGCTGGACACGCCCACTTTTCTGACTTTTTCCAAAGTAGAGGTGTGAAAACACCCTGCTGAAACGAGGGGGTTTCATGGCCCTTTAAGTCCATGTTAAAGACCTATCTATTTTCCCTCCCTAAATGTTTCTTTTATATTCTGCTTTCTTCTCTGCCTTCAGTACTCCTTTATACAGCACTTTGGTCAACTTTGGTTTTTAAATGTGCTTTATAAATAGATATCGTCTGGTATTTACATGTTTATGGGACTCTCAGCTGCCAGGGCGACAGCTGAATCCAGGTGGATTTTGTAGGCTCTGCCATGAACTTGCAGGAACTGGGCTGGATCCTTTTTCTACACAGAAAAGAAAGTGTGTTTCTTCATTTATAAGCATCAGCCAGGCCAGGGTTAGACTGTTTTCAGTAAACAAAGCATGACTTACAATTTTTTCATAGTACTCTCTTCGCCTTTCCCCACGCCGTTTGTAGTCCACCATCATCCCTCGCAGTTTGCGTTCATGTTTGCGGGCCTCCTGCCACATGACGGCTCCGCTTGGGGTTGGGGCGCGTCGGGGCAGGGCTGCTGCAAGGGGACACAGAGAGTTCAGATTAGCTGACTACTAACAATAGACTTAATTAGACTGACAACAAACATACTACTCGGAACATATAATGCTACTCTAAGTCAAATCATCGCTACACTCAGAGAAAATAATATTTTTTATATAGAATGCAAATATACAATGCCTGTATGCATTTCTCACAAGTAATACAATAGCTGCAAACTACAATTGTTTACAAAACTACACTGTTAATATACAGGGGTTGGACAATAAAACCGAAACACTTTATGGCCAATTTAGTGTTGAAGGTTTCATGGCTAAATTTGAACAGCCTGGTGACCAATCTTCATTAATTGCCCATTCCACCAGTAATGCCGTGATCACACTGCAATTTGAGCCTGCAAAATTCTGTCATTCAGCGTAGGGCTGTACAATTAATCGACATTCAGTTTCAATATTGGCTTCTAACGTTTTTGAAGAAAATATTAATCAAGATAAATGATTAATGCATCATATACCGTCCCCTTTTCCAGTTGGATACATTTGTTGCTCTGCAAAGCTCAGTTTCACGTGAAAATTACTAAAAGCATGTTCTGTAATGTCACTTTTGCAGCATGGGATGTGCATCATTCATTGACGCACATTCGAATCATTCATGCTTTTAAAAGCACAAAAAAAGATGGCATGCTGTTGTGTGTGCACCAAGTGTGCCGCAAGCCTACGTTTGAGTGAAGGTTTCGGCCGTTAGATCGCCCCCTGGGGGCTGGCTGCAGTACAAGTCATAAAGCCCGCCTCCTCCGTGTTAATGAAGGAGACTTGAGCCCAAATAAAAAAAAATATTACACTTGCAATAAAATGTCCCGAAAGATAGTTCTGGTGGATTAAGGCACTGGTTATTGTGCTGAAATAGGTGCAGATCTTCATTTTTGTAAACAGTTTGTTTTTAGCAGTAATTTAATGCTGGGCGTGTCATCGTGATTGACAGCTGTGATTGACAGTTTCTCAAAGCAGCGCGTCTGAGCTTCGGCAGGAGACTGAAATGTTATTATTCGATTTCTGTGTTATTTTACCATGACAAAATGAGTTCAGCAGTAAACTATAGTTTCTGACATACATGATCCTAGTGGAACACTGTTTATTCGCTAAGTTCAGGGCTTTTTTCGGGCTTTATTAGTTTGCTGATACACGCCTAGCCACCCAGATAGCAAAACACAGTTCCGGCTAGATTCTCGCCTGCCAGACACTTATCTCTTAGAGCTCAGACTGACTAATGTTACCTCTGCTGGACCTACTCCGGATGCCTGGACTCACTACCCAATTCCAGCCCGAGTCAATCGAGCCAGATGCGGCGGCCGAGCGAGCAGGCGCTGCCGCATGCGAGCCGGAATCAGCCCGCGACGCCGCGAGTAAGTTATGCGCTGCGGCCTGGAGCTGGCGCGATTGAATATATAAAACCCTCATATTTGTTAACGTTATTACATCCATTTGTGTTGATATGACAGCAAACGCATGCTGAGAAGTTCGGGGGGCGTAGCTGATTTTACATAACGCGTTTGATTGGAAGCTCGACTCTGCTCATTTTCGCGGCTCCTCCTCTGGCTCCATCAGACAATCCTTCTGCGCATGTCTGGCTCCAATTTCAGCAGTCTTTTGCGACAGTTTGTGCCCGTCAAGCAGGCGTTTTGCCCTCAAGGCGTTCAATGGGAAAAAGGGCTGTCGCGTCGTCCATATTTTTTACAGTCATTGGTGTGCACGCGCTCAGCCTCAGAGATGAGCAGAGCACACATACTTCTAAAGTAATCTTAATGCTAGCGCTTTGTATGTCAAATACATGCAAATTTGTCAAAACGCAGTGTTTAGTGATTATTCATATTAATCCTTATTTATGTAATAAACAAACGAGTTGAGAATCAAAAGACATGTGAAAGTGAAACCATAACATAGAATCGCACTGCTCTTAAAGTGACGCGCAATATTCCTGCTGCCGACTGTTTCTATCATTAGTCAAACAACAAAGTATAAGTTATTTTTTCCTATAAGTTTTTTTACTTACAGTATAGATGCTTAAAGCTCAGTTTGTTTCATATTTTTAATCTATTGTATTAATTTCCCTTACCTTATTTACAGTGAGGACAATGATTGTATATATGCATGTATGCATGCATGTATATATATATATATATATATATATATATATATATATATATATATATATATCGTTGAAATCAGAATAATTAGCCCTCCGGAATTATTAGCAGCCCTTTATATTTTTTCCCCCAATTTCTGTTTAACGGAAGAATATTTTTTTTTACACATTTCTAAACATAATCGATTTAATAAAACATTTGTAAAGTGATTTCTTTACTATTGGCTATTAGGGTTGTAACGGTATGAATTTTTTTCATATTCGAATTGTTTTGACTGAACAAAGGTTTTATTTCAACAAACTTTTGAAAGAACCATTTTAATAGAGCTATAGAAGTCTTTTATAAAAATAAACTGAAAAATCTCCCTTTTTAATAAATTAAATTAGAAGGAATAAACAAGCAGGGTCTTTTAAGATTAGACAAAAATAAACTTAAACTGTCCTTCCTTATAAGCAGGATAAATGGGAGACCAAAAGTGCAATACCAAGTTTATGGCTGTAAACATGTATTTAAAGCGTTGTTTTTTTCAGTCTAGGTTGTGATGAAGAAATGTAAGCATGTTGAGATTTTCAGGACTTAATCTTGACCGCTGAGGTGAGAGAATGTGTCCACTTGTACAATGAACAAATAAAAAAATAATAAATAATGTGTCAAAGTCCAAATAAACATGGTGCAAATCTTCAGTAAAAAATAGATATAAATATTTACTATACTATAAATAGTTACATAACGAAACTAGATTCAATATGGAACATCCTTAGGTTTTATGTGCCAGCATGGATAAGGTTGTCTGTGGATATGGATTTGGATGTGGTTGTCTGCAATGCAGACAAACAGCTGCACCTTCATTTGTGTCTTTTGAAAACAAGCAGCAGTTCGTCTTTGCTGTGTCACTGTTTTGTCATGTTTCTGTGCTGCTGTGCATGCAAAAGTACTTAGTATGAGAATTATTTCTTTTGATAATTTTGATAATTTCTATTGATAATTTTGTTTTAAAAATATTTAAACCTGCTTTTATTCTAGCCAAATTAAAACAAATAACACCTTTTCCAGAAGAAAAAAAATATTATAGGAAATAATATATTAAATAATAATATTCCTAAATTTGTTTGGGAATATAATTTTGAAAAAATAAATAAATAAATAAATAAATATATATATATATATATATATATATATATATATATATATATATATATATATATATATATATCACAGGAGGGTAAATAATTATGACCAAAATAATCGTGATTATGATTTTTACCATAATCAAGAAGCCCTAATACAGTTCTGCAAAAAGGGAGAGGAATAAACAAGATAAGACTTTTAAAAGCTAGCGAATGGTTCATATTTTTCATTTCAGCCCAGAGAAATCATGTTTCGATCTTCTAATGCAGTCATGTGACGTGACTTCTCAGGTTAGAGTTCACCAAGCTTAAACTTTGCAAAGCAGCGAACCGCGAAACCTGTCACACAAGCTTCCGTTTCCAGCCTGTCGCATTCGCAGGCATATGAATGAAAGTCTACGTGGTGAAAAGTACAGTGTGACTGCGGCTTAAGAGAAGAGTGTGAAGGTTTGATTTAGCATAAAATATTGCAATGCACACAACATTATGGGTGACATATCAAGAGTTCAAAATTGTTTGTTGCACGTTTCCCTGACACCAAGTCTTTGTGATGTATTAAGAGCCACTTTAACCAGGATAATGGCAGCATACCATGAAAAAGGACAAACCACATCCAATAGGAGTAACGAACTATGCAAAAGGAAGCCCCAGCTGTCCAACTGCAGAATTAAATGTGCACCTTAACTCTACTGTTTTCAACAAAACTATTCGTAGGGAGCTCCACAGGGTTAATATACATGGCCGGGCTGCCATTTAAATCTCTTTGGCTCGAGACTTCCTGTCTCATTCACTTTTATTCATTTTTAGACGTTTAAATCAGATTGTGTAAGCAGCTTGGTGTTGCAAACTGATATTTTCTTATATTATTCAGCTTCGTCTGTTTGCAGAGCAAGCAGTTTGATCATTTTCTGTCATTTATTATTCCTAGTCATTTCCCCCATAGCCAACTGAATCTGAAGTTCTAAAACAATTGCAAAAACAAGCACACTTCCACATATTAGAATAAGGTCAATAGCCAAACTTCAGTTTGAATAGTGCCTTCAACAAAAATCTTAGGCTGCAGACAACATGAAACATGTATTGTACTCTGAGTCCACCTTTACTGTCTTTGCAACATTTGAGAGAGTTATGGCGTGGAGAAGCCCAAAGAAGCGCACCAACCACATTGCAGCATGACCAGAGTGAAGCATGGGGGTGGATCAGTGGTCTTGGCTGCAATATCTTGGATTTCCTTAGGTTTTAAACTTGTGCTAGATAGGCACGTCGTTACTAAAACATTCTGGAGGACCACGTGCACCCAATGGTACACTGAAGGCAATGTTGTGTATCAGAATAATAATGTACCAAATAAACACAGCAAAATTGGTGACAGAGTTGTTTGATGAACATGAAAGTGAAGTTGAACATCTCCCATGGCCTGCACAGTCAACAGAACTAAATGCTATTGAGCCACTTTGGGGTGTTTTGGAGGAGCGGGTCAGAAAACGTTTTCCTCCACTGGCTCCATGTAGTGACCTGACCACTATCCTGCAAGAATAGCTCAAAATCCCTCTGGCCACTGTGCAGGACTTGTATCTGTCATCCCCAAGATTAACTTATGTTGTATTGGCAGCAAAATGAGGTCCTATTACACCATACTAATGAATTAGTGTGGTCTAAAATCAAGCACTTCCGTTTTATTGTCCAACCCCTGTAGTTAACCAACTTTGTATCAATAAATAAAAGTGTGCATTAAAAAAGTGTGATTTAAACTTCATTTTGTTTGATTCGCTTTGTTACTAAACTAAATCATACAATATTTTCCATATGAACTCATTCTTTTGTGACAATACATACGATTTGACAGTTTATTTTAATAAATATCAATCATTCTTGTATATATATATATATATATATGCAGCTTTAGAGACAGTCTCAATACTCAATGTCAGTGTTTATTAGCACTTGATGGGAATGGTTATGTATAGCTCAGTTTAACCTCAAGTTTGACACGGCTACCTTATGCAAAAATAGGGTTGCGTTTGTTAACATTACCTAAACAGCGCAAATTATGCAATGATCATTGAAACATTGGGTCTTTTACATTTTAAACTAATCGGTTACAAAATAAAATAATGTTAATAGCCAATTAGCTAAAGCAGGGCATGCTAACTTTCCATAACCGTTAATTCCGTTAAATATTAATAGTGCGTTTATAATCACGCATCAAAGACTGTTGATCATTCGAGTCATGCAGCTCTAGTACAGTGTTAAAACATATAGCTCAGGTGCAAATAACATTAAATTTAATTTAATAAAAAATTACTGATGCTAACGCTAGCATGCTAGGGTATATTCTACAACTGATGTTAACAGCTGTCGATAAAGCGGTGGGATCACCACCAAAAAAACGTTAGCGATATAGATGTATAACAATTACCTGTTTATGTTTACACTTTAGGAAGTCGGGGTTTCTTAATGGAAAAACACACGCGTCGGTCACCCAGAGTGAAAAGGCCGCTAGTTTACATGCACGAACACACGCCTCCACGCGCACGCGCAGATCACATCACGTTGTGCTAAAGAAACTGGAGAAACCTCACTGTCCTGCAGGAGGCGCTATGGCTCCAAATCATTTATGTGGTTTAGTTGTGTAATCAGAGGTGGATTGGGGGTGTGAAACGTACTCAGAAACAGTCAGAGTGTAAATGGTATGCCACAGGTAACCTGGATTTAAACTAAAATATTAACGATACACATTTGTATCGTTACAAATAACCTGACCCATAACCTGTCTCAAGCCTGTTTGAGTTTCTTTGTTCTGCTGAACATAAGGGAAGTTATTTTGAGAAATGCTGAAATCTGGTAATCTTCCATAGTGTTTTTCCCCTAAACTGAGAGTTAATTGTTACTTTTTATAACATTCAAAACATCTCAAATAAATATATTTTTGAGTGAACTATTCCTATAAGTAGTTAAAAAAAGTGAAAGGGGGAAAAACAAGAGAGGCAATTCTTGTTTCATCAATTTGAAGTGATTTTATAAAAAAGGAAAAAACATCTCTCAGATGTATACATGTTTTGAAGTGTTTGATACATGCATTAAACAGACAAAAACATATTTAAGGTTTTTTTTTTCTTAGCAAAGTTTGATATGAAATTACTTGATTGTTTGTCACTTTCAAACTTGTATTGTCATGGCACTATCAGAATTATCAAATCACTTAATTAAACTTTGATTGTAGCATTTATATATATTTGCATTCTTCCAATACATCAAACAGACTGGTACACACACACACACACACACACACACACACACACACACACACACACACACACACACACACACACACACACACACACATTTATTTATATATATATATATATATATATATATATATATATTTATATATATATATATACTGTTTAATTAAGAATTATTAGCCACACTTTGAATTTTTTTTCTTTTTTAAATACTTCCCAAATAATGTTTAACAGAGCAAGGAAATTTTCACAGTATGTCTGATAATATTTTTTCTTCTGGAGAAAGCCTTTTTATTTTATATTGCCAAGAATAAAAGCAGTTTTACAATTTTTAAAAAACATTTTAGGGACAAAATTATTAGCCCTTTAAGCAATTTTTTTTCTGATAATCTACAGAACAAACCATCATTATACAATAACTTGGCTAATTATCCTAATTTAGTTAAGCCTTAAAATGTCACTTTAAGCTGTATAGAAGTGTCTTTAAAAATATCTAGTCAAATATTATTTACTGTCATCATGACAAAGATAAAATAAATCAGCTATTAGAAATGAGTTATTAAAACTATTGTGTTTAGAAGTGTGTTGAAAAAAAATCTCCTCTCTCTTAAACAGAAATTGAGGAAAAAAATTAACGAGCGGCGAAGAATTCAGGCGGGCTAATAATTCAGGCAGGCTAATAAGTCTGACTTCGACTAAGCCAGACAAAATTTATTAGGCTTTTGGGAAGAAGATGACAAGTCAAACTTTTGAAAGCTGCTTTTTTATAATGGAAAGTTATAAGCTTCAATGCGGCATGAAAACAACTTCATTGTTTATTTAAAATTTAATTTCTATTAGATAGAAAAAATATAAAATGCATTTTGTTTTGTACTTTTTAATTAAAAAAAAACTGTAATAAGTAAGTTTAGGTTAAGTCTGCACCACTTTAGATGTAGTTTAGGATTTTAAGGTCAGACTTAAGAAAACAAATTATTTCAAAATGACATAGACACTTTCAAAAGCAAACATCTTAAAGTTATGCTCACTGTATTATTTATAAAGAAATTTTGTGTTTCTTCTAAACATCTAGACACTTAAAGTTAATGTAGATATACAAGGCAAAATCTAAAAAGCTAAATGTTATAATATGGACATGAAAGTGCTTTTATTTGAGTAACATTTCATTACCAAATAAATAACAGTACTTTATTTAAAACATATCAAACATTTCAAAATAATTTACCTGTGATATATGTAAAATAACAACAAACAAAAACAAATCACTCAATCATTATAAACATCAATAAAAATAAAACATTTTTGAATTTATTGTTCATAATTGTAATTATTATTATTAATTGGTACATTATATGGCAGCAACAATAAATCATCTTCATCTGAAAACTTTAATTTTGTTATAGCTATCCATTTCAAAACTCTTCAGGGATTAGATAATATTTTATCTGTTTTTTTATACATTTTTCAGTAGTTTGTATACGGATTATGGAAAACATAAGTGTACATGCTGGATTAAAACTGACAATTTAATAAATGTTTGCAATATGACAAAACAGCCACAAGGTGGGGCCGAGCACCTTGCCGCCAACGATTGACCGTAAATACACACACCGGGATTTTGCAGTTCAGCAATCCATCTAAACACATTCTATTGCTCATTTCAACATTATGTTCAATGTATTTAATAACCAAACTGCACGTTCATAGTCTATTTATCAGATCCTCTAAAACGTGATGTGTTGCAGAAAAAAAGTGTCCTTCAATCATTACTAAACATTATTTTTGTCCGAATTCACGTGTCAGTGGGTACAAGTGTTTAACTATGAGTGCTTTTCAATCCTTATAAAGCTCCATGAGCTACAGTAAATGTATGACAGATAAAAGCTACAAATGTGCAGTGTTTTGAGTCTCTAAGACCAGGACTGAAAACCTCTATTACACTTTAACGTTTAACGGTTTTCTTACTCATAAAAACTTGAAAAAAATAATCAGTCTAATTTTGCAGGATATTATTTGAATTTAAAAAATAAAGACACTTAAAATACCCAACTTCAAACTAAAATCAAACAAATTCTGAAATGTTTTCAACACAAAATGTTTAATATTATTTCACATAAAATGAATACTGATTTTTTACACAGATTGTTTTTATACCAATGTGTGGTACCTAAATCATAATCATAAAGTGCAAACTACTGAACTCAGTAGAAATACTGCGGTAGACTTCAGCTAAAGGACTAGTTCACCCAAACATGAAAATTCTGCCATCATTTATTCAGCGTTCACTTGTTCCAAACTTGTCTGAGTTTCTTTCTTTTAAACACGAAGGAAGATATCTTAAGAATTGTTGAAAACATAACCACAGACTTCCATATTTGTTTTCCTGCTATGTATTTCAATGATTACAGGTTTTCAGCTTTCTTCAAAATGTCTGCTTTAGTATCCAATAGAAGAAACTCATAAAGGTTTATAACCATTTGAGAATGAGTAAATAGTGAAAATATTTTCAATTTGAGAGAACTATCCCTTTAAGTTACATTCATTTCATATTTTCAGGTTATGTCCCTCAAAAAGTTGTGCAGAAATGCATTCATTCAAAAGCTCTTTGTAAATATGCACAATTAGCAAAACCTATATGATGGTAGCTTTAAATATAGTCACAGGGACAATGCTCACTTAAGAACTGCTCAGTTAGTACGTCTCACTTATTTATCATTTAGATTCAGATCACCAGGTCATCATACAGAACAGAAACAAAATGTGCAGATTTAGGTTTCATAAACTAGATTAGAATACTGTTGTTGGTCTCTGGTTTGTTACGCCCAGGATGAATGGTGGTGCAGGCAAGAGTCCATCATAGCTGTAGATGGGGCAAGCTTTAAATTTACAGGGCCAGTCTGTCCAGAGATAGCGGACAGCAGTAATAGAAGCAGGACATGGTGGTATTTCCAAAAAGATGTAATTCAATCCACTGCTTGAAATGGCAACAGGTGTCCATTTGTCGTCTGTTTCACATTTCCTATCCTCAGAGCAGCAGATCTACAGTAGACATAAACACAATGGGTAACCCGTGGTTAATTTAACAGTAGTATTCTTACATCAAGCAAACCCAACCTTTGACTGAATCTTTGATCAACTTATGTTTTATAAAATTCACAATATTCAAATTAGATTTGAACTTGAAATTAGACTTTATTAGGCACACCTCTAATATGCAAATATTTATTTAGCCAATCACATGGCAGCAACTCAATATAATAAGGCTCTGTGAGAACAGAGTTCACACACAAACATAATTAATTAACCTAATTAAACTTAGTTATTGTTTAATGTGTGTTTGTATTTGTTTAAATATGCTTTAAGTAAAGTAGTTTATGTTGTCTCCGTAGACAAATGAAAGGACAGGTAGCTCATAATTATCTATTAACTTGAGTCTATGCAAGTGAATGCCATGTAACAATGAGTAAAAGGGGCGACGCAGTGGCGCAGTATGGTAGTGCTGTCGCCTTGCAGCAAGAAGATTGCCGGTTCAAGCCTCGGCTGGGTCAGTTGACGTTTCTGTGTGGAGTTTGCATGTTTTCCCTGCGTTTGCATGGGTTTCCTCCGGGTGGTTGGGTTTCCTCCACAGTCCAAAGACATGCGGTACAGGTGAACTGGGTAGGCCAAATTGTCCGTAGTGTATGAGTGTGTGTGGATGTTTCCTAGAGATGGGTTGTGGCTGGAAGGGCATCCGCTAAGTAAAAACGTGCTTTATAAGTTGGCGGTTTATGCCGCTCTGGCAACCCCGTATTAATAAAGGGACTAAGCTAACAAGAAAATAAATGAATGAAATTTTTCAGGATGTAAATATACATGAATATGATGCAGGTATTTTTTTCATTTGTTTGAATGATTTGGGAATTAAGGTTTATTTATTTGTTTATATTTGTGACCCCTCATTTCCAAAGTATTGTTGTCCGATTGATTTAAGAGCCGCCTGTTTCCATGGAATAATCCTGATTTGCTCATAGACATTTACATTTAGCAGACGCTTTTATCCAAAGCGACTTACAAATAAGGACAAGGAAGCACTTTACACAACTATAAGAGCAACAATAAATAAGTGCTGTAGGCAAGTTTCAGGTGTGTAAAGTGTAGGAAGCAAAGCATTAGTAATGTAAGTTTTTTTGTGTGTGTGTGTACAGTTAGCGGTGGAGCCAGAGAGGCAATTGCAGATTAGGAAGGAAAGTGGAGACTAAATAGTTGAGTTTTTAGTCGTTTCTTGAAAACAGCGAGTGACTCTGCCGTTCTGATGCAGTTAGGGAGTTCATTCCATCAACAGGGCAGATTGAATGCGAGAGTACGGAAAAGTGATTATTCCCTCTTTGGGATGGAACCACGAGGCGACGTTGATTCACAGAACGCAAGTTTCAGGAGGGCACATAAATCTTTAGAAGTGAGAGCAGATAAGAAGGAGCAAAGCCAGAAGTCGCTTTGTAAGAAAACATCAGAGCTTTGAATTTGATGCGAGCAGCAACTGGCAGCCAGAGCAAACGGATGAGTAGCGGAGTGACATGTGCTCTTTTAGGTTCATTAAAGACCACTCTTGCTGCTGCGTTCTGAAGCAGCTGAAGAGGTTTGATAGAGTTAGCTGGAAGCCCTGCTAGTAGAGAGTTGCAGTAATCCAGTCTGGAGAGAGCAAGAGCTTGAACAATGAGTTGAGCTGCATGTTCAGATAGGTAGGGTCGGACCAGTTCTAGAAATGTGGTCAGAGAAGTTTAGTTGGTCATCAATTGTTACTCCAAGGCTTTTCACCAGACATAGTCAAGATGATCTTCTGAAGCATCATTATGGGGAATAAACAGGGATTTGTATGATTTTGAATGTGGCGGGGTCTAAATATGTCAGAAACTTCTGATTGGCTAACATAAAAAAGGTTATCTGGTCTGATGAGTCTAGATTTCTGCTGCACTATTGTAATTGCAGGGTAAAAATAGTAGAGTTAATAACATGAAAGCATGAATTCAGCAGTGCATCAATCAACAGTTCAGGTTGTTGTTGGTGGTGTGATAGTGCGGAGGATATTTTCCCTGAGCACTTTCAGCCAATTTAGTTCCGACTCGAGTATGGTTTCTGACCAAACCTACAGTAGGTGACCACATTGTGATGCTTACATCAGTGCCGTTTTATTTTAGGCATGCTTCTAAATGTAAGTTAAATTATTTGGCATTTATGGTCTATACAAGTTAAAACGTGAGTTTAATTAAATGTGCTAAAACATTACATTAATATATACACCTATAATAAACCGACAGAATATATACAGAATATATACAGTTGAAGTCAGAATTATTAGCCCCCTGTTTATTTTTTCCCCCCAATTTGTTTAACAGAGAGATTTTTTTCAACAAATTTCTAAGCATAATAGTTTTAATAACTCATTTCTAATAACTGATTTATTTTATCTTTGCCATGATGACAGTAAATAATATTTTACTAGATATTTTTCAAGACACTTCTATACATCTTAAAGTGACATTTAAAGGCTTAACTAGGTTAATTGTAAGTTAATTCTAGCAGTTGGTGAGCAAACTAAGCACTGATAGATTACATGCCATTTGTGCATGTTTTTGAAAACGTAACATTCTGTAATGCATTTAATCCCACATGAGATTCTGTGCATAATTTGATTGGAGAAGAATCATAGAAAAGATTCCTTTTTTTTAGCCAATCACCATAGACAAGAAAAAATAAACACATAATATAGTCAATGCAATTTAAAAGAAAATAGCACAGTAAAAGTACCGATATTACACTAAAAATGTACTGAAGTAAAAGTAGACATTTTAAAACTACTTAGTAAAGTACAATTTCTGAGAAAAACTACTCATTTATAGAAATTTGAGTATTTCTAATTTATTATTTTAAACTAGAGATGCACAAACTAGGCAAACTTGGGCCGAAGATGGTTGATGGTATACATTGATTTGGCCTACCTTCCCACCAGAGAAGAGATTGTCAATTCTAATTTAACATAACCTTGTTTTTGTTTGATTGTTTTGTTTTGATTAAACATATTTGTAAATGAATCAGTTTTCATAAAATGTAAATACTGACAGACGGACGGACAAAAGACAATGCAGAAAACATCAGGGAGCATATCAAGTCAAAAACAGGTGTTGCACTGAACTCCATTCTGTTCTTAATGGGAGTGTTTTTAATATAATAAGCTTATTATAAAATATGGTGACGTGGTGGCGGAGTAGGTAGTGCTGTCGCCTCACAGCAAGAAGGTCGCTGGTTTGAGCCTCGGCTGGATCAGTTGGTGTTTCTGTGTAGAGTTTGCATGTTCTCCCCGTGTTCACAAGGGTTTCCTCCGGGTGCTCCGGATTCCCCCACAGTCCAAAGACATGCGGTACATGTAAATTAGGTAGGCTAAATTGTCCATAGTGTATAAGTATGTAGGGATGTTTCCCAGAGATGGGTTGCAGCTGGAAGGGCATCCGCTGCGTAAAACATATGCTGGATAAGTTGGCGGTTCATTCCGCTGTGGCGACCCCAGATTAATAAAGGGACTAAGCCGTAAAGAAAATAAATGAATGAATTATAAAATATAAAAATTTACACTGAATTAGTTAATATGAGACAAAATATTGTAGTTTTTATTTAATATCAAATAAATAAATTACAAAATTACCCATGACAGCTTTAACGTAATACAGGTTGATATATTTACCTTCGCTCCAACACCCTCAATTAAGTTTGGTTTTTGGCCCTTCATGAGGAAAAGTTTGTGCACCCCTGCTTTAAACCAACGTTAGCTAGTATATGAACAATATCTTACCTCAAAGTAACCATCTTCATGACTGGCCTTGATATCCTGATTAAACACAATGGTTATGTAACTGTTGCCGAGCACGGCTTGAGTAGGGAAAGGTCCTTGGAAAGTCACATTCTTCTCCCCATAGGCGACAGCTCTTGCTCCAAGCACAAGTCTGAAGGCCACATCCTGTTTATCCTCTGGATGAATACTATTGAAACACCCAGCCAAATTCAGCATATTAGACTCCACTTCTATTAAACAATTGGAATAAAGTCTCTGCTCCTCCTCACCTGCCCCATGGGGACTTTTCATCAGGTACATCAACAGCAACAGCCATAAAGGTGTTCTTCATCCGCTTATTAGGGACAAAGCCATAGTCTGCTGTCTGATGCCAGCGTATCTCTCTAAAGCCATCCGTTGGATCTTTTGTCTTATATGTGCATAGCTTGAAATTACATGGAAGTGCAATGTTGTGTTATACACTCTTATTATTATTAAATTATAATGAAATATCTTAAGGCTGCATTTATCTGACAAAAAAATAAAGTATAAAACACATTAGTGTCAGATCATTCAGACACCTGTTGATTTGGTTCTCAATTTGCTAAGTAATGAAGCTTAATCAAAATAATATTACCAGTGTCCCTGTTACATTAATTTATGTACCATAGTAACTTTTAATTATTCATACTGTAAGTACAGTGAATAAGGGTTGTTAATTAATACTAATAAAAGTACAATTACACTAAAAATGACATAAAATAAAGTGTAACCATTAATTATTGTAAATTATTTGGTGTTAATTGGGTGTTTCTTATTATCAATGTTGGTACAGTTGAAGTCAGAATTATTTGCCTACTGTTTATTTTTTCCCCAATTTCTGTTTAACGGAGAGAAGAGTTCTTTCAACACATTTCTAAACATAATAGTTTTAATAACTCATTTCTTATAACTGATTTATTTTACCTTTGCCATGATGACAGCACATAATATTTTACAAGATATTTTTTAAGACACTTCTATACAGCTTAAAGTGACATTTAAAGGTTTAACTAGGTTAATCAAGAAAAAAATATAGCTTAAAGGGGCTAATAATTTTGTTTATTTTAAAATATTGTTTTTTAAAATATTAAAAACTGCTTTTATTCTAGTCGAAATAAAACAAATAAGACTTTCTCCAGAAGAAAAAATATTATCAGACATACTGTGAAAATTTCCTTGTTAAACATAATTTGGGAAATATTAAAAAAAATTCAAAGGGGGGCTAATAATTCAGACTTTAGCTGTATATAGTTTGATATCTTTGTAGGGTTTTGTTTCAGGATTTTTTCAAGAATAGATCAAAACAATAGCATTTATTTTCTATATATTTAGATTATACTATAGTTTACTCTAATTTTATATAAATAACACTTGGAATGTAGAATGTAGTGAATAACATTTTTCATAAAATGTATTAAGAGGAATATACTATAAGATGTTTCCAAGCACAAAATCAGCAGATTAGAACGAACTATGAAGGATTGGGATAAGTCTAAATTATTACTGGCAAAAAGTTTACTTTGCCGTCCCAATAATTAAACAATATTACGGTTTTACTGCAATTCTGAACAAATAAATGAAGCTCTAAGATAGTAAACGTTAAAAAAAGATTACAAATTATTGGCCATCAGTATTAGAAATATGCATGGGAAGATAACTGTTTTAAGGCATACAGCGATTTGGAAATGTCAAGGTTTTAAAACCAAAATTTGCCAAAATTTTTATTTTCTGCTATACTATTCCTAAGTTATGTGTAACACTTTTATTTAAGTTTTTTTTTGGAAAAAAAGTATCTCTAGCAGAAAAGATATCCAAAGATGCCATTTTGAATTTTGTGTTTTTGACATGAGGACAGCAGAAGTCAATAATTCATTTGAATTATTATTTCTGACATTTCTACTGCTCCAAAATATTTTAAAGGTTTCTTAAACTAAAATATATTGTTTTCAAAAGTGTAAAAAGTTATGCTTTTTTTTACCCAGACAGTTAAAAAGAATCTATTTTAGAATAGTAATCACAATACCGTGAAACAGTAATTTTTTTATCCAAGGTTATCATACCGTCAGAATCTTATATCGGCCTGTGCCTAATTAGAAATAATAACACATAGGTCCTATCCAAAATATAAAGACACAATTTATCCAGTTCTGACTATTTAAAAGCACCTGAACAAATCCAAATGGGAAGTCTAGTGCAGTCTGGCCTTCAGAGCCTTCATGGAAAGCCATTCTCCAGTCATCAATCATGCCAGGGAAAGTGCAGTTGTATTTATCCCTGTTGTAGTTTGCATTAGCCTCACCTGAGAATTAGAAACAATAAATAAAACAGCAAGTGTTTGCACATTGTATAACTGCTATAGGGAAACATTCGAAATGTACTACCTTGGTACCATATGGCTCCGGTTATCGTCATGTTGAGTAATGGATGGATCATGGCATTCCACAGCACTGAACTGCTCCAGGTATTTTGCTCACTGCAGTCAATTCAGATATAGAAGTTGAGAATGTTAAATGAGAGCGAATTCACTGTACTGTACTGTACTGTAATGCACTATACTAAAACCATTCATTCAACCACATTTACTTCTGTGTCCATAGTTTCAATCAGTGGTTCTTAAATATAGGAGTCGGGAGCCCCCGAATCACCATATTTTTATATATAACCTACTGAGGAGAAAAAAATAGTTGTTTATAGTTACTATAGTAGCTTATAATTACTAGTTCTATTAGTTTGCGACCCCTGGGGTAATTACATTATATTAAAGACATAGCAATAGCGTCAGATGCAGCAGATTAATTTTATAATACCAGGTTAGACTTTCTGGCCCATTTACAGCACTGACATACATAAAAAAAACAAAGAAACGAAGAATAGACTTGGGTCTATTGGAGTGTGTGTGTCATTGCATGCAAGGTTTCTGTATTTATAACCACCTCAAAGGATATTGGGGGTCGAGAGTCACTGGCATTGTCATTTTGGGGGTCGCAGACTGAAAAGTTTTGGAACCCCTGGTTTAAATCATAGTTTGAAAAAATATTTAAATGTAACATCATGTAGTGTTTAAAACATGCATGTGCACATTTCAATTTTTTATAAAATTATGTACAGGGAGTGCAGAATTATTAGGCAAGTTGTATTTTTGAGGAATCGTTTTATTATTGAACAACAACCATGTTCTCAATGAACCCAAAAAACTCATTAATATCAAAGCTGAATATTTTTGGAAGTAGTTTTTAGTTTGTTTTTAGTTTTAGCTATTTTAGGGGGATATCTGTGTTTGCAGGTGACTATTACTGTGCATAATTATTAGGCAACTTAACAAAAAACAAAAATATACCCATTTCAATTATTTATTTTTACCAGTGAAACCAATATAACATCTCCACATTCACAAATATACATTTCTGACATTCAAAAACAAAACAAAAACTAATCAGGGACCAATATAGCCACCTTTCTTTGCAAGGACACTCAAAAGCCTTCCATCCATGGATTCTGTCAGTGTTCTGATCTGTTCACCATCAACATTGCGTGCAGCAGCAACCACAGCCTCCCAGACACTGTTTAGAGAGGTGTACTGTTTTCCCTCTTTGTAAATCTCACATTTGATGATGGACCACAGGTTCTCAATGGCGATCAGATCAGGTGAACAAGGAGGCCATGTCATTAGTGTTTCTTCTTTTATACCCTTTCTCGGCAGCCACGCTGTGGAGTACTTGGACGCGTGTGATGGAGCATTGTCCTGCATGACAAACCATGTTTTTCTTGAAGGATGCAGACTTCTTCCTGTACCACTGCTTGAAGAAGGTTTCTTCCAGAAACTGGCAGTAGGATGGGAGTTGAGCTTGACTCCATCCTCAACCCGAAAAGGCCCCACAAGCCCATCTTTGATGATACCAGCCCAAACCAGTACTCCACCTCCACCTTGCTGGCGTCTGAGTCGGACTGGAGCTCTCTGCCCTTTACCAATCCAGCCACGGGCCCATCCATCTGGCCCATCAAGACTCACTCTCATATCATCTGTCCATAAAACCTTAGAAAAATCAGTCTTGAGATATTTCTCAGCCCAGTCTTGACGTTTCAACTTGTGTGTCTTGTTCAGTGGTGGTCGTCTTTCAGCCTTTCTTACCTTGGCCATGTCTCGGAATATTGCACACCTTGTGCTTTTGGGCACTCCAGTGATGTTGCAGCTCTGAAATATGGCCAAATTGGTGGCAAGTGGCATCTGGCCGCTGCACGCTTGACTTTTCTCAGTTCATGGGCAGTTATTTTGCACCTTGGTTTTTCCACACACTTTTTGCAACACTGTTGACTATTTTGAATGAAACGCTTGATTGTTCGATGATCACGATTCAGAAGCTTTGCAATTTTAAGAGTACTGCATCCCTCTGCAAGATATCTCACTATTTTTTACTTTTCTGAGCCTGTCAAGTCCCTCTTTTGACCCATTTTGCCAAAGGAAAGAAAGTTGCCTAATAATTATGCACACCTGATATAGGGTGTTAATGTCATTAGACCACACCCCTTCTCATTACAGAGATGCACATCACCTAATATTCTTATTTGGTAGTAGGCTTTCAAGCCTATACAGCTTGGAGTAAGACAACATGCATAAAGAGGATGATGTGGTCAAAATACTCATTTGCCTAAATTCTGCACTCCCTGTATGTCGACTGACATTGTTAATTCATTAGAATCAACACATTTAGGATTGCTGCAGAACATCCAACCCACCCACTCATCCAAACACCCTTCCATCTATAAATCTATGTGTCAGACAATATATATGCCAGAACCAAATATACCTGCCAAATTTCTCTGTCTCCTCCCCGAAAACTAGTGGTGTAACAGATCACGGTTCAGATCACAGTATGATTTTTGAGTCACGGATCAGACAATTTTAAGCATCAGCAAAAATTGTAGGAAACAAATGTCACTTGCTTTGCATTTACACTAAAATATTACTTCAGAAACCATTGGTTTTAACAAACAGAAATTAGAGCCTGTAATTTTAATCAAAATTAAAATCTAGAAAGAACCAGCTGAAAAAAGGAAAATATTCAATACGAAAAATTATTGTTGCTACTGTTGCAGATAATGCTAAATATAGAAATATAGAAACATCTTGTACAACAGATATTTATTTTCGATTAATGATTCAACAATTCACACATAAAACATCATGTTTCATTATAGGTGTATCATTTTGGAAAACATATTCAGTGACATAATTTTGATGGTTGTGTGTCACCACCCATTGGTTACACAATGTAATTGCTACAACATTCATCAGTGTCAAGTTCCATTAAATAGTGATTTTAATTTTTACCATAAACATCAGTGTTTATATCAGAACTAAACTGTTCTCCCAGCATTTATGTTATTAAAATTTTTGTAACAAACTGAAAAAGTGTAATAACTCTCTCGATCAAACGTAGAGTTTAATGCAGCACTGCGAAGGACTAATAAACATACAAATCACAATCATTTATTATTTATGTTGCACAGGTTTGAATAGAGTTATTAATTTGTGGGTCACATGCGTTCCAAATAGAGTCTTTCATTGTTTCACATACGTTGCTCAGTGACATGGACACCTCCAAATGATGTTGAATGAGTCACATACTGTATTTACAAGGTATAATTCACCTAAAAATGTCATTTTTGTCTTCATATAATGATGTTTTCGCGGCCGGGAAATCACAATGACGTGAGCTGCTGACTGTGAGCTGTTATCACAGAGAGGGCGCGCGCGCTCTACTTAATGATATACGTGCGCGCGTCTACTTTAGTGAACAGAACCTGCATATGTTGTGAGTAACAGGTACAGTTGTAAATAATATTTAGTTTGTGGCACAGAGTGATCGTTTGGGAGCCACACTCGAAGTATGAACAAGCACTTAGCAGTAAAAATAAAACCGAAAGTGTGCACTTCAAATGATCATATCGCATTTTACAGTTATGATTACAACAAGCATTTGATATGTGTATTTATTCATAGCAAACAGAGTTATGCATGAAAATAAATGTTTACAGTGTCAGTATAGCTACTGTAGCCTATACATTGTTGAATATAATCTGATAATGACAAATATCTGATTTTACCAGTGAATAAAATTGTCTAATAATGTTGTTAATGACAGACTGCAATCTCAAACATAATAATTCAACATCTGAATTGTTATAAGTAGAATAGAATTATTTCTAGAAACCAGTAGAGCTATAATATTATTATCGATATTGTGCCATATGTTTGTTTTTACCATAGCTTTATTTTACATCAACAGAATCGTGAGAAAATCGTGATCTTTATTTTAAGCAAAAAAATCGAGATTCTCATTTTAGCCAGAATCGCGCAGCTCTAGTTCCAAACTGTGGGTTGTTATATATACTGTGATCCGTTACACCCCTAGTGAAGACCCATTTGTGGAGTTACAATGTGTAGATTTACTATGCATAATCTCATCTGCATGTAATTTCCATAAGCATATCCCAATCTTTAATATGCTGCATCCACATGGCCATGTTTAAAGGAACAGGACTCAAAAAAATTAACTATTGTAGCAATTATTATCAATTATTTAACAATAATAACATTTGGATAACAGTTGAAATTGGAATTGCTACTTAGGGCAATAAATTCCTTCTAAATTGTTACCACCCAACAAAGAATGTTGTGTATAATAGACGTCTAATAGACATCTAAACGTAGACAGCTTGGCTAAAACAAGGCTAAATTTGGGTTGTCAGTGAAAATCTAAAAGACATCTAAGAATAGCCCAAAAGTAGTCATTAATTTCTGTTTATTTGATGAATAGTCTAGTTTTGGCCTATTCTTAGATGTCTATTAGATTGTCACTAACAGCTTAAATTTAGCCTTCTTCACTGTTTGTCATGTTTTTGAGCTGCTGTGCATGCAAAAGTACTTAGTATGAGAATTATTTCATGCAAAACTTTTTTTGCGTATTATTTAGCTGTGCGTAAATGTACAGCCTATTTCTCATTACGGGTTGTTCAAATACCTGATTGCTGGTCTACAAAGCGAAAGCTATGCTTAATGCTTGAGAGAGAGTGAGTTTGAACCAATCAGGGCATGGAGGGGGGACAATGCATCAATGCATCATGTCTGGTTTGTCCGGAGACACAAGCCACGAGCGTTCCTTTGTCAAATCAGCATTGTCAAAATGTGATGACATAACCACACTGATTCCGGAGCCTCCGAAGGTCCGTGTTTTTGTAATGTTCAGCGATGGAAAGCTGAGACTCTGCCAATCTTTAAATTGTACGGATCGGATCAGCGGATCAAAAGTTATAAAACATTTAAAAACAATACTTATTTTTAGCAGCAGACAGCTGTTTCGGTCTTTAACGGTTAAAGACGTCACCACTCGCCCCAAAATATAACAGTATAACACTTAATAACATAGTAAAACAGTGTATTCTGGTATTGTACCTGATAACTGAGCTCTTCAACCCACACTTCTGAAGTGCCCTCGGGGAAGACCAGGCCTCCACAGGTGTTCCTCCCCAACTGGAATGTACCAGGCCAATGGGATACTTCCGTTTCTCATAGAGGTAGCGGCCAAAGAGCCAGCAAACTGCAGAGAAATGGCTGAAATCCTTTCCACCAAGCAAGCCTTGAATTTCGAACACACAAAGACAACAAGAACAGCTGTTGATCTCACTTCAAGAAAAATTAGATGTTATGCATAAAGCCTGCTAACACAAAAACAAGAACAAAGTTCAAGGCCTTATTCCATACCTGGTGTTGGTTTGGACCAAGGAACTTCCACTCCTGCGAGATCAGTTAGTTCTTTTTTGCTTTGCTCCAAGGCAGCCTGGAAAATCCTCACATCTGGGAACTTAGAGGCCATTGTTAGTTCCTCTGTTGCATTAATCACCTATTGAAGATCAGGAGACCTTTAATACGCACCAGAAAGATGTAGCTAGGTATATTTCCATCATTTGGCAAGGTGTTTTTCCATTACAAACTGCTGCAAAACTTTTTTAGTATATATTAAATGTTGATAAAATACTGATTATTGTTGAGTAATATTGATTAATGTTGATAAATGTTGATTAAGTGATATTAACCAGAGTGTTATGTGACCAAAACTTGTCCTTGTGTGACATCTAATTCTAAAAACCATGCAGACAGATATATTCAAAAGGTTTAGTTATATCACAGCCAACACACTACCATTACCATTAATAAAAGCAGACATCAAACAAACATTAAGGGCAAGGCAGTACTCCCTGTACTTTGGAGCAGCCACTAATGTGTTTCTTCCTGGAAAGTTATAGTGGATGATGTTGTGCAATATATTGGCATTTTTGCAAAATGGACATTTCCATTAGTCACATTTTTGCTTCGCATTTTCAATTCGCAAGGGTAATGAAAATGTGCCTACTGTCACATTTGATGTTAAAAGAAATTTACTTGCCTGACCAACAGTGAATGCCATGTTACTTTGTCCACTACATAACCAGATGTCTCCAAAGAGCACATCTTTAAGTACAATGGAGCTATTAGTTGTGCTATGATATGCAGTCAGTGTGTAGGGACCACCAGCCTCCATGGGTTTGAGAGTTGTGCGCCAAATACCTGTAAGACAAATGCACTTTCATTCTTCAGTATTTATTAAACCAGATATTCATTATTCTTTCCTTATACTTGTAATGACATAAAATCTTAAATTCCTCAAAAAATCAAACTGCAAAAAACTCTCGTTAGCTCACATCTCTGAGACAGTTTACAAAAAAGGTGCCCTCCCAATGGCAGTAATTCTGTGACATGAATGAAAATGTATTGCGCACAGGCTACAATATACCTCTAAGTCCATCTCCTCTATTTACCAAACTGATTTACTAGTAACGAATGAGGAAAACTATCATTGCAGACTAAAATCCCCACAGGAATAATTATATATAATAAATACAGTCTGAACATGGAGGCAATAAAAGTGCCACTGCTTTGATTTGACCGTTTTTTAGCAATAGTAATAGAATCATTCAATATAATAACAACAACAACAATAATAATAATAATAATAAACAAGAACAATAAGAAGAGGAACACAGAATGCAAAGAGCTTAATGGGCAATTAGTTTATATTAGATTCATCTGCTTACCTGCATAATTTGCATTTTCAAGGTAACTGAATTCGGTCTTAATAGTGTTAGGGCACAATCCACGTTAAAGCATAAAGATAATTAAAATATGCTTTATGTGACGTTTTATAAATATTTTAGATCATTATGCATATAGGTCAAACAATTACAACTATAATTTCTCCTGGTCTTGCAAATTTTTCCAGAGAGAGACTACAAACTGGCGGGTATTAATGTAAAGCCCTGTATATATATGTGTGTGTGTGTGTATATTTGTGTCTATGTATATATGTATATATGTATATATATATATATATATATATATATATATATATATATATATATATTTTTTTTTTTTTTTTTTTTTTATCTTGAGCTCTTGAAAGCAGCAGTACAGTGCATGCACAAATGTTGCTTTTTGTCCAGTCTATTTCAAAGAGAACCAATCACACCAGTTGCGTTTCCTCAAGGCACGATTGCTTTGCACTAGTAAACGGGAGTGTGCATGTATTTTTTATACAAAGTGATTATCCTCTCATTTGGCATTCACCTACTTTCTTTTGCTTGCCCGAGCAGTTATGTCAGTCATGCTGCTTCTCGATTCATTTCCACAAATATTGGCCCATCCCTATTGTCGAATGCTGCTTTTAAGAAAACCATCATTTAAAAATAATTTTTAATAAGCCTGTGGGGCGTTTGTCTAATGTCAAGCCCTGATTGTAAGATAAATGTATCCTGTATATTCAGTTTTTTTATCATTCCTTTAAAGCAGACTTTTCACTTTAGTGGAATGCATTTATGTGTGTAAGTAATACAGTACTTACCATTGATAACAGGAGCGATATATGTTTGTTCCAGAAGGTGTGACCCAGACAGGGACACCACAACCTTGGCTCCTGTCTGTCCAAATCCCCACACGACTGACTTGGCTGGGGCTTTTTGCAGAATCATGTAACTCCCATAATAAGAAGAGAATCTAAACACCTCCCCTTTTAACACAAGGGAATTAGTTCAAGATTTATCATTTTTGAAATATGAAAAGTCTGTATTGCAGTGATGAGAAACAAATGGGTTTTCATTTTAAAGCTAGAATGTTTCTTAGTTTCTAAGTTAGAAAGATGCAAGCACTACTGCAGGCTGTCAGAACTTTATCTGAGTTTCTTTCTTCTACATAAACCAAAACATTTTGAAACAGGCAAGATGGAATCTGAGATCCAGCCCCCCAGCATTCTTCAAAATAACTTATTTTGTGCTCAACAGAAGAAAGAGACCATGAAAGGTAGTTTTCTTATTTGCCAGAACTATTCCTTTTACTTTGCTTTTGCCATATTAACCATGGGGCAACCATGGTATTTGTGGTAAAACGGTGGTTACACAAACAGCAGCCTTTCAAAAAGCAAGGCAGCAAACTGTTAAAACAACTAAACTAAAAAACAGCATTCATGCCTTAATGAAAAGTAAGCAAGCTTGCTTACTTTTCATTAAGGAATGAATGCTGTTTTTTAGTTTAGTTGTTCTCAATGTAATTTAATTCTACTGAATATACTATATTTTGAGCCTATTCCGAATTAACAGCAAACACAACTAAACACACTGAGGGTTTTATGTCACAACGCTAAACGTTATCACGTGGTCTGCACGAGACATGATAAATAAATAAGTCCTATGTAACCGCATAATATACGATTTTGCTAAAACGTGTAAAATCTGTCACTTTTATTTGTAGCATACCTAAATACTATAAAGGTTAAAGGATTGGACTCAAATCACTGGTGCATCATATGCTTTCTCACGAATCACTCGTTCTAACTGATAAGACGTTCATGTCAAAAACCGTATAAAACAGCTAAACCAACTTATTAGCAATTACTTAGCTATACAGTATTTCTAAAGGTTACCACTTACCTGCCGATAAAACAGTGGCAAATGCGCTCAAAACCAGCGAGGAAAACACCGGTGTCAACATGACTGCAAGTTATTCAAAACAAGGAAGTGTGTCAAATGACGTGCCCAGTGTGCAGCAGGCTGTTTTACATTCTGCGCTACCTTTTCAGACTGTGCTGCCAAACTGGTGTCTTACCCCCTGCTTTACCCAGGAGAAGTTTATCCTCTCTTGATATACATTTAAACCTTCCAATATAAATATTAATATTTTCTCTAGCACTTAAATCCCAATTTCCATTCATTATTTATAAATTAATTATCATTATTCACAACTATTTTACACTAGGTATAAAAATATACGAACAAACAATTAGTAATACATTTATCATAGTATTTATTAATCGTTGTTAACGTTAAGTCAGATAATGTTAACTCATTGATTAACTAATGTTAAGAAGCACAACAATTAATAAATGCTTAACAAAATTATTCATACTTAGTGAATGTAAGTAAATACATGAGAGGGGTCTGGCTGCAGACTCGGTGCAGTACAACATCAGTCATGCTTAATTCAGCTATAAAAATATCCACTGTTGATTGCATTAGATTTTTGTTTTCAATTGCGATTTTAACACTTTTAATAGAGGAAGTCCTCGGCTATGCATAGGCTACTCTTAATCATAAATTGACTGCATAGTTTTACGTTAGATGCAGTCTTGAATTTACAAACAGTCAGTACTGGAGAACAGATGTAACATTGATCAAGTGAAGTTTTCAGTCACACTCATGCAACAGTAATATTTAACTCGTTTTATGTATCCTTCGCTCATTTTTGTTTTCAGTTGTGAAAAATAAAACATGAGTTTTTACAACACGTTTTTAAACATAATAGTTACTTCTAATAACTACATTTTATTTTTCTTATGGTGACAGTCAATGCATAATATTTTACTAGTTATTTTGCAAGATAGTTGTATTCAGATTAAATTGTAATTTAAAGACTTAATTAGGTTATGTTAACTAGGGAAGCTAGAATAATTAGCTAAGTTATTGTATAACTGCTTTGTTGTGTAGATAATCCAAAAATACACAGTAAATATTGCTTAAGGAGGCTAATAACAATGACCTTAATTTTTTAAAAATTATTATTAAAAACTGCTTTTATTCAAGAAATAAACTAAGACTTATGATTCCAGAAGAATTATTTTTGTTTTATAGAAAATACTGTGAAAATGTCATTTGTTTGTTAAAGATCACTCAAGCAAAAAAATTAAAAATAAATAATAATAATAAAAAATACTTCAACTGTATCTGTTAAAGTTTACCCCCTAAAGGTACAAGTGGCCCCTGCCCGGCCCCCCAGTCACTCTGGTCTAGAATCGCCACTGGTCCAGTGTTCTCCAATCTCTGCCGCATAGACTGCAACTCTGCACAAGAAGTTTGGCCAGAGGAGAAATGGTCAGGCACAACTGAGCCTAGTTTCTCTCTAGGTTAATTTTTCCTTAATTTTCGTCAACTAGTGATGTTTTGTTCTTCACCACTGTTGCCACTGGCTTGCTTGGTTTGGGACTTGTGGAGGTGTGTGTCAATGGATTTGCTTATCAGTGTTTGGGCTTTCAGAAGTAAAAACTAACCACACTGAACTGAACTAAACTGCACTTCAACTCTTTACCAGAATTTCTATGTTAAGCTGCTTTGACGCAATCTAAATTGTAAAAGCGCTATGGAAATAAATATGAGTTGAATTGAATGTTTACAGTATAGTATACAGTAGAGTTGTATTCTTTTTATGTGACAATTATAAATGTTGTATTAAAATTATTGTTGTTTTTTATTCTTGACTCTCTAATTGTGGAGTCCCTTAAGGATCCATTTTGGGCCCTATCCTGTTAAGTCTGTATATAAATGACATCCCACAAGTCTGTCCTACTATTAATATTCAGATGTATACTAATGACATATGTGCACGCAAAAAACAAACAACTGGCAGCAATTTATTTAACCGAGGCATTAGTTCATGTATCTGATTGGCTGTGTCAGTCATATCTTAGTTTGAATATAAGTAAAACGGTTTGTATGTTCTCATCACAATCATTCACAGATGCCCATCATCCTGATGTTTTTGTTAAATGAGAAAAGCTTAGGGTTGTCTCTGATTTTAAATATTTAGGTCTAAAGATTCACAATTGACATTCCAAAAGCATGCCAAGAAGGTCACTAAAATTGTTAAATTTAACCTGGCCAACTTCAGGCATATACAACCTTACTTGACTTATGAAGCAGCAAAACTTTTTATGCACTCCATGATTTTTTCTCTTTATTACATATTGTTCTACTAGTTGGTCAAACACCAGTAAAACAGTTTTAAAATCAGTTGAATATTTTTATAAACAGGCCCTTAAAGTATTTGTTCAGAAGTCTATTAGGTATCATCATTGTAATATAATACAGAAACACAATTTATTGAGCTTTGATAATTTGAAATATTTGGCTGATGCTTGTATCATTTTTAAAATGTTAAATGGATTTGCTCCACCTCCATTATGTAAGTTTGTGACACACAAGAATAATAATGGTCAAGCAACACAATCTGTTACCAGGGTAAACTGTGCTGTGCAGATTAGGCCTACAACTTTTGCACGGTCAGTCTTCTTAGTTAGAGCCAGTCATTTTTGTAACACACTTCCCATGGAAATTAAAGAAATGACTAAAAGCAAATCAAGTTTGTAATCATTTGTAATTTCTTTATCTAACATTTTAAGAAACTCTTATTATGTTTTTTCTCTTTGTAGTGTAACTTTACTATTTTTGTGTGTGTGATGATGTGTTTTTGATTTTAGGTTGCCTTTTAAAATCTGGCAGGGGCAACAGATGAAAATTAGACCCTTGTGGCTACCTCTGGCTTATTTACAGCTTTACCTTTTATTAATGAGCATTGTCCCTGTTAAATAAATACATTTCAATATAAAAAAAAAAATGTAGACATCTAACCTAATAATGTTTTTAAGTCATGGTTGATGCTAATATTAAGCATGATCGTCATGTTAACTTAATTTATGGATTATTGGGTTGTCTGTTGTTCCTACAAACCACAAAGTACATTGCAGTTTTACTATTTATTATTGCCAACCCCCACACCATCACCACTCGACTCAAACCTCGCCACAAATGAAGAATTAAAGATTAATGTAACCCAAAATACTTATGGGCTTATCAGAACGTTGAATATCTGTAAATCATTTATATTGGCCTCATGTCTAATTGGCGTTTTCAGCATTGCAATGTGCACACTGATCCAGCACTATAAATAGCACCAATCAAGCTGTGTCAATAGATGCAGCCACCGATGGCCCACTTCATCATCTTAGCATACATTTCAGTAAACATGGCATCCCATCAGTCTAATTGCATCCTGGCAGAGGCTAATTGACTGCCTAACTTTGCAACATCATTACAGCTTATGGGATGGTATTCAAGATAAAAGCTTTGTATACGAATATTCCGGGAGGGAGAGGGAGAGAGAGAAAGCCGAAAATATTTTGATCAATCAGCTAGTTAAAAACCCAGCGGGAAGGGATGAAGAAACAGGGGTTTTAAATGGTCAATGAAGTCATTACTGGATAATTAGGTCATTAGAGGAAGTTGAAGCGCATTGCAAAGGCAGTTGCTTTTATATTAAACGAAAATGCTGCGCTTAGGACTTCACTTAATGGAGATGTTGTGCACACTATGGGTTAGCTTAGGAGAGGAACATTTACTCAAGGGCCATTGGTCTCGTATGCTTTAAACGAGCATTCTCAGCACTGATCCTCATTTTTAAAACATGCATTAAAGCAATTTAATGTTTCTGTTTGTTTTTACATAACTTCATATTATCTTTTCAAATAATGGATTTTTTATATAAAAACAAAATGTTTTTTATAATTATGTGTGCATGTGTATATGTCTGTGTGTATGCATGTGTGTCAGGGTGTCAGCACTCTGTGGCAGTATCCAAAATCACCCTACTCTAAAAGAGTGCACTATTTGAGGGAGCAGCCATTTCTAGTGGTGTCAGAAACCATAGTGGATGTTCTGGCCAGGCTCATTGCGGATATGTACCCAGGTCTACATTTTTGGGGACAGTGAAATACGTAACTGAAGGTATGCTTACTCACAGTTTTTGATTTTGCAAATCCACCAGAGGCCACTGTGAAAGCTTTTTGTTGATCTCAAATTTCTCTTGCATGTTCTCTTCTTGCCTAAAGCCACAAGAGGGTGCAATAACTTTAGCCAACTAGGTAAGCTTGCAGTCATTATCTGACTGACTTACTGACTTACCCACCAACCCCATCCCTAAACCCAACCAATAGTGTTTTCAAAAGCAATCCACTGTAGAAAAAGAAAAGCTGTCGCGTGATTTCACCACATTTTACCTGGTTTCTGGAAGTGTTCTTTGCCAGACTCGAATGCCGTTGTTCCGGTCAACTTAGCTCCGTGTCCAAGTCCATCAGTGTATGGGGCGAGCTACTGGGCAAACTGGTAACACAAAAAAAAACATCCGTACGGAGGTAATCGGACAGCTGGTAGGGCTATAAAGAACAGAAGCTGTCGGCTGTATCATACCACCACATAGTGTTTATTTTAAAGACAAAATGCAGCCATATGTATCTCTATACCTGCCAACACTCCTGTTTTTCCCAGGAGTCTCTCGTATTTCAGACCCATCTCCCGCCCATCTCCCATATTGTTCTGACTCCCGGAAATCCCCCCCAAACTTCTATGACAATGATAACCTCAGGTACTGATTATGTGCTTTATTCAGTGTGAAATGCTAATATTACCAATGTGAGTTTGACCACTATTTTACATCACATTTATTGCCATACTGAAAGCAGCAGATAGTTTACCTCAGATCTTAAAAATAAAATCATGAAATAAGCATATTTGAAATTGAATATTAAACTGTGACTTAGCAATTACTTTAAGTAAAGTTAAAGCTAGCTTTCAAGAGTTCGCCCTTGGCTGATGATTCATTATAAAGCGTGTTTTTCATGCTGTCTCGGGAGAGAGCCCTGAGCTCGTGAGATCCTCGAGCCCGGAGCTCCCCCCGTTGCAGGGCGAGAGGGGAGTTTGAGTT